GTGGAAATGATTGTGGTTAATAAACAGCGTTTCACATATTTCATGCCAAATAAGGCTCATTATAACGAGTTAAGCAAACCAGAGGCATGTGAGGCATGCCTCTGGTTTGAGACAGTCGAAGTTTGTTTTATCTTGTTTTTAGTTTACTAAGATATTTTCAGTAGAAATTAGAAATATTTGGTCAGATTTTGTGTTTCTTCAGGTTTTATGCTGATGTATTTGCCTTCTATCAAATGCATCCTCTCTGTCTTTCCCATCAGTTTGTCTAAAAATGTATTATCAAAACCAAAAGTACAGAATTTTTTTTTATCAGATGAATCATCAAAATAATTGATATAATAATTGATTACTAATATAATCGATAGTTGCGGCTCTAGTGTGAGTCTCATCTGACTAGAGAGTGTCCTAATTAAAGTCCAACCACCACTTCACAAACTCTACACATTTATGTTTGTAATGGTAAAGCAGAAAGTACTCTTTTTCCCTGCATTTTTATTGGCACGTAAACATCATGTTGTGGTTGTTACGGAAACTGAATGACCCCAAAAAGTTTGTTTTATCAACATTTTGCAAATTGTAAGCTTTTGAGGTTACAAAAGCTTACAATTTGCAACCATGTCTGTGTATTTGTGCCACCATCATGGTCTGGTTGCAGCAACGCGATGCAGAGAATAAGCCTAACGCTTGCTGAAAAAAAATCACATAATTTCTCTTAAATTAAATCCTTCTCACTCCTCGTTTCCTCCTCTGCTCTTGTGTTTCTTCTGAACTGGGCAAGGCGTAGTGGTGTGTGGTCGGTGTGAGATAACAAAGGCTGAGGAGTTCACAATTATATAAGTCCTGTGGAGGCTGTGGAGGAAGAGGAGGAGAAGCAGCAGGGTTAGCACGTAGGAAAAGGAGGGCAGGAAAGGGCCAGTGTAGCCTGCGTTGCAGTGCTCATTTGTCTTGCACACCGACAAACACACACACGGTCTCTCTCTCACACATGCACACACACACATGCTGGCCTCCTTTCGCTGCTCCTCATCACAGATTCAGCAAATACTGCCTCGCAATATCTGAACTTTTCACTGTTTTATGTTCCCACGCTGACAACCACGCAGAAAGATTTTCAAGTGAAATCACTATTATGCTCCTTTTTTCTCTTTCTCTCTCTCTCTCGCTGTCAGAGCTGTTTGCTGTCCCACCTCTGGGCTGGAGTGCTGAGCAGGCAGCCACACACACACACACACACACACACACACACACACACACACACACACACACACACACACACTCTGAGCCTCTAACTGTAACTCTCCAGCTCTATAGCTGCCTGCAGCCCCACCCGCCTGTCCTCTGATGGCCTCCCACTCATGCCACATTAAACATTTAGTGAGGCACTCTGGATCTGTGTGACACCATCTTTTAGCGCCGCCAAGCTAACAGCCCTCACTCTGTGGAAAAAAACATAGGTACACGCCTGTCAGTGGAAACTTGATATAGCGGTCGCAATGTTCCCACTGCCCCTTCCTGTCCCTCTTATTTACCTATAAGCGCTCGCTCTCAGTTACGAGGTAAAATCAGGGAAACCTTTAGTCTTTATTCAATAGAGACGTAAACTGTGTGGGGTTGTTCTTTTGCGTCACAGCTTAGCCAGGTGGATTTGAATAAAGTAAAATATCATCAAAAAGTACATTTATTTCAGTAATTCAGTTCAAAACGCGAGCTGAGATATTGTAAAAATGAAAATCCAAAATGTAGTTCCTTAGAAATTTAGCTTATTTAAGATAAATGAATTTTTAATACAGAATGCTATGCATGGTCTGACAGACGATCACAAAGATGTTGGCTATTCAGAGTGCATAGAATGTTGAGTGGAAGGAAAAAATGCTGGTCTAGACACTGGAAGATGAGCAACACCAGACTCAACAATGCAGTCGAGCTGAAGGTGACTATTCTTTTCAGTAAGCCAACATTTTTTATGAAATATGAATTTTAAATTCCGGTTAGATGTAAGCTTGGCTCAAAAACAGCAGTTGTGTATAGAACTTAACAAATTTGAAGTCGTACCTATTTGGAATAAAACTCTCAAGTTTTAACATCCTGGCTGATGTCTTGAAATGTTGCGTCGATATTTTTTTCTTTTCCACGCAATTTCCTTGTAACATCATCAAGTCATATACAGTTATACAGAATCATTTTCAATCCAAATTTATTTGAAATGACTCCTGTTAGAGTCCAGCTCAATTCAATCATACAGTCAGATTCAAAAACATACAGTTTAATTTAATTCAAATTGTGATAATATTCAGATGATTATTAAATGTCATTTGGCGAAAATACTAATTTATCTTCTTGAGCAAGCATGTGGCGACAGTGGAGTGGAAGTACTCCTCTTGAACTGGAAGAAACCTCCAGTACAACATTGTCCAGGATGGGTGTCATTTTGCTGTGACTGGTTAGGAAGATAAGAAGGAAATAAAAACCAATACAACATAGAGTTAAGGCTAAAACTCTTAGCTTAGTTGTGTCTCTATCTGGAAAAGATAAAGACGAAAAAGATGCTCAAGGAAAAACAAGGTAATGCAAAATCTCACAACTCTGCATGAGCTGCAGAAATCTGAGACAAAATAACCACCAAGAGACACTGACTGCAATGACAAATTAAAATCAAACTAAAACTAAATGTGACATACAAGGACTAATATGGACAGACAGTAGAAGAACTAAGTTTTGGAAAGTGAAAACGATAAAATCAACTGAAACAAAATGAGTGCAGACAGAAAGTTACCAAAGTATTAGTCATCCAAAGACCAGAAATCATATCTGCCTTGTTTGTGGTTCTTTGTGTGTGTGTTGGTTAGGATAACAGCGGCCTTCTGATCTCTTTGCACTGAATCATGTTTGTTTCATAACCTGTCTATAGGTATGTGTTTGCTGCAGAGAGCTGTGCCCTGGGGGTCAAGTGTGTCCCAACAAGTGCAGTGAAATGCTGCTGGGGTCTTTTAGAATTTTTTGAGCATGTAAGAACAGATAAGGATTCAATTTTCAAACAGTTTTTCAGACCTGATAAAGTACTAAATGGACCCGAAGATATTCTAACCTTCCAAGATGGCTGCTTATGTCAAATAATATAATTTATAATTGGGATGACGTGCTCTATATTCCTGGTTTTAGTCAGAACACCAGCAGCTGCAGCTAGAGGATCGACTTTTTAGACAGATCTGTGAAGACGCTGTTGCAGTAAACAGTGCAGCTAAAGATAAATGCATGGATGAGTTTCTCTATATCTTATTAATCCTGGAAATGTTGTCCAGGTGACAGAAGGCTGACTTTGTAGCTGTCTTTATGTGGCTCTGAAGGTTCAGGGCTGAGTCCATCACTACAGCCAGATTTCAGACCTGACCACTGAAGCTGTGCATTGATTCTAGATCGTCCCTCTCTAGATGCAAAGGTAATAACTTGATGGAGAACAATGTGGCACATCCACAGAATTTATGTTCTAAGCATATATTCAGTGCTTGGATGGGTTCTGAAGGCATTAAACCCATAGGATTGGGTTTAGTGCAACTGAAATTGAAACATGAAAACAAGGTGAGGACGACTCAGAGTACAGATATTGGACTCTGGACTTTGTGGACTGGTGCCAGTGGAAACACCTCCTGATCAACAGAACACCAAGAAGCTAATGGCAGATTTCTGCAGGTGCAGACCCACCCCTGCCTAGTGATTGGTTGTTCCCACGGGGAGGTAACTAGTATATATATTTAATATAGCAAGGCCTTCAAGAAAATTAGTTTCTGTCTTTTGTGAATCATTTCAAAAATACAGATGTTGTGCTCTGAAGTGGTTCTGGTGTTGATCAGTTGTTGGTCACACCTGGAACGTCCCCAGTCTGGCCAACTCTGAACATTTCTATTTTAGTCCAAATTCTAGCATTTTGTCTTTGCAGCTAAAATCAAGACTCGTTTAGATCAGAGAAAATTTTTCCAATCTGTTATTGTCCATATATTTTTTTTTTTTTACCCGTTTCATGTTTTCCGCTGACAGGAATAAGCTGCCATGACTGAACTGCTTCAGTTGTGTTTTCCAAGGTGGTATTTTGCATGTCTTGGTTGGAAGAAGTGGCTGCTAGGACCACTGTGGTCTTTCTGTCATCTGAAAGCAGCCTGCATATTGTCCTCTGATCTCTGACATCAACAAAGGCTGTTTGTCTCCACACTTGCTGCTTTCCTCTTTCAACCAGTCACATACAAATTACCTTAATTTGCCTTTCTTTCTTTACTATTTTGATGAACAGTTTGAACTTCATTAAGTAACGTTAGCCACAGCTAGGATGGATTGAATGTGATCAGCTCTATTTGTGCGAACAGCGCTCCTAATAATGTGAATATGTTGGGAGAAAATGCATAAAGCTTAATTTCGTTATGAGTTGTGAAAGCAATCATGAGTAAAAGCATGGTCTGCTCTGTTTGTTGCCCTGAACCGTGCTTGTTTCATAACCTGTCTGTAAGTATGTGTCTGCTGCAGTGAGCTGTCTCTCCCAGGGGTTGGGTGTATCCCAGCCAGTGCAGTAAAATGCTGTTGGGATCTTCTTTGGTTTATCTGGAGCATGCATGAGCAGAACTGGATCTCCAAACAGCCAGTCGTCTGGACCCTTTCCCCTTTCCGTTTTCCCATCGAGGAATTTATTATGAATCTCTCGTCTTTATTTTTTCTTCTAAATGACTGAAGTGAAGCAAATATTTCGCAGCTGCCCACATTTTCAATGACTTCATTAGAACTGGAGGCACTGGTCTCATGCTGCACGTGCCTAGTCTCGCGAGGATTTCTCCCCCGTTTTTTGTTTTTTTTTTGTTTTTTACGACACACACACACATACACACACACCATCATCATCACTCCTCCTCCCCCGGCCCCTCCCTTTCCGTATCTGCTCGCCTCTCTCCTCTCTTTTCAGTCTTGCTTGCCTGTCAGAAAGGTGCTCCAGTATCGGAGGCTAGGCTACCCTTCTCTCGGACCCCCCTCCCCCGTACGAGAGCCAGCCGCCGTCGAATCCCCCCCCCCTCCGCCCAAGGCTAGGGCTCCCCACCCCTCTTTCTCTCTCACGGCTCCAACCATGGCGACCACCGCTACTTCCACCCGGTTCACCGACGAGTACCAGCTGTACGAGGAGCTCGGGAAGTAAGCAGCATCGTGTTTGGCTTGTCGTTTTGTCCCCCACCCCCGCAGCAGCACCACCAGCAGCAGCCTCGCTTGAACATTATTTCTGTTTAGCCAGCTTAGAATGTGATATCCGGCACAAAATGCGCATTGGGCGAGTTTTGGTGATTTGTTTTTGTGTTTTAGAGCCGGGGTGCTTACTGTCGTCTGCTAAAACAGCCGTTTGCTGTCGGCTAACTGAACTAGCATCTCCCGCAGTAACGGACGTGCTACAATGGCTGATATTGATAAACTAGCCGAGTTAGCCCGCTACTGTTTCTCCTGTAAAGACGAGATAATCACACTGAGGATGGTGCAGTGACAGCTGTTCGCCCTTCCGTGTTCGCCAGCCGGTCTTTTCTGGTCTGCTGGAGCCGCCAGCGGGGCCCCGGGAGACTCCGGAGTCGCAGCCCTCTGACATTTAACCGGCCCACGGCTCAGTCTGACAGCTCTGTGCGGGCTCGGTGTACCTGCGGCTAACTAGGCCGGCCACTGTTGATAGTTTCCCCCCCATAGAATAATTTCTGTAACCACGTTGAGTTTGGCTACGTACCCCTGAATTTTTAGATCAGGAAGTTATTCGTTGCTGGATTCGCGGGGTTGTGCTTGCAGTGAAATAATGTCAGTCTGACACCGACCGACACCGACTGACCATCAGTTGTCAATAAAAGCTTTCTCCTTATGGATCTGTCATACAGCTGCTTCTCCGCTGTTGTGGCCCTTTACAGGGTAGGAGGCAGGGGTGTGTTTTCTCGGTATTGTGATGACTGTTACACAGAATTATGTGACCCAAATACTTCACCAATTGGGAAATTTATTACCACTGGTAAATGTTTAATCGGACTTTGTCCTGCAGACCTCACCCTTAAGGGGGCTTTACTACTGTTTGTCACTATTTTTAAAATCAAAACACAAGATGCATTAAATTTGACAGGAGTGATTACTTGTATGCAGCTACTGTCAAGTATCTTTTTTTTTTAATGATTAACCTGTTGACAATTTGTATTTTTATTCTTGGCAATTTCATGTTTTTCAAGGTATTAGTTGATCTTTAGAGTAACATTTTCTAAAATAAAATGTACAGAAAGATTTGCGACTCTTGGCTAAACTAAAACACATCACTTTATAAAAAGTACATCAGACTGATTATAATTACGGTTGATGCAATCAATTTCATTAATCTAAAGTGATCCAAATTGGCAAAGTTTTCAAAGTGTTGCATGTCAAAACTATATAATCTGAAAGAGCATTAAGCTTTTCACTTGATCCTAAGATTATCTATGTTGGTTAATTTTTTTTTTAAATGCTGAAATTCTGCAGTGATTTAGGTCCCTTAATTTACATTGTTCTTTTTTGATGAACAATTTTAAATTTTTATTTGTAGCTAAGTGGTTAAATGACTGGTAATTTATTTGCAGCCTTACACTTCTTGTTCAAAAATCAGATTTTCCTCATTAAAATATCAACAGAGGAACATTTTGTCTTGAAACAAAATATTCAGGTTATTTTCTTTTTTAAAAGTAAACCTTACCGCTAAATCCTGAACTACTGATATGAAATGGTTAAAAAAAACAGGAAATGTGTTAATTACTTAGTCTAAGCAGTGATCGTAGCATTAGGGATGCTCCGATCACTGCCAGTCACCCGGATTGGCGGTTAATTTTCTGTGTTATGTATAAATGATACTATGTGATCTGGCAAAGTGGAAAAATTATCTGGCAATAAATTCACCTAATTTAGACATAAAACATGCAAAATACTTGCAGACACAAAACAGCAGCTATTCAGTCGACAACTGAAAAACCTGCAATTAGTAAAATGATATTTAACATCAAGGTTCTCAGTACCATAAATTATACACGAGTCAAATAAACATCACAAATAAATAATGTCAGGAAAAAGGAGAAACATTCATTTAATGTTAAATGCAGGTTGCATCAAAATAAACAATCCTGAGTTACTAAATCAAAACTTCCTGAGAGCATGGCTAATTGTTCTGTACTGGTTCTGATTGGCCAGCTGGTTAATGCTGGTTCTGATTGGTGGAGTAATTCTGCAGAACACAGGGAGGAAACAGAGGAGATCGATACTTTCCCCAAGAGATTATCTGTCTCATGTTAGGACATAGCGAATGTTTTATGTAAAATAAATATTTCGTTTTTGTTTAAGTTGCATGCTGCAGCTTTAAGCAGACGTTCGGTGTGAGTTCACTGCCGGGTGGAGCAGAAACTCCTGTCTACTACCAGTAGCGCGTAGCGGCGGCCCAGACGCGAGAGCAGAACCCAGGATCTTACACAACCAGCTAGCTCAAAGACTTAAATTATTTTTTGGTTTATTTGTTTAGCTTTCTAGCCGTCATGCTGATCCGGGCGAGTGTTGGTAGTTGTGCACTGCTGTACCGGCAGAGTGATCCCAACGAACGTCTTCTTTACCTGCAGTGAGCCTCGATGTAGCCAAACTCCGTCAACTGTTTGTTTTTTAAATATTAGATTCGATGTGTGGATGCATTTTGACGTGGTTCACCCCCTCCCCCCCCCCCCGAGATGTTTTTCCCCATTCACTGTCAGAACGTTGTAGTTCTACACAACATTAGGATTTAGGATTGCGCAGTGTGAAGGAAAGAGGAGATAAGCTGCGAAATGAGATGCAGGTGATCGGTTTTAGTGATCGGCAGCAAGAGTCGGTGATCGGCGATCACGATCACATACATTTTCACAGAAATCGGCTGGTTATGTTCGGTGGCCGATCGATTGGCACACTTCTACTAACCATGTGCTCATGTATAAAGTAAGTTTTTCTTTTTGAAACACGAATTCGGTTGATTTCAGATTATTCAAGCAAGGTTTTGTCAGACTACAACTTAAATAAACCCGTAATGTTTTGTAAAAAGTAATTTAATTTTAAATAGATAAATAAGGCATCTTAGAAATTCTCGAAACTGCATAATAACGATTTAATGAGTAGCTTTTGAGGCAAAAGTACAGCTAGCAGCAAAATGACAATGAAATGATTACAGAGCAATGAGCAACTTGCCTTTTGTAACTAAATTTTCTACAGACCTAAAATGGACTCGTCGTATTTAATTTTTGAATACAAGAGAAACAGAAGTAATAAACCAGGTGTGTTTTAATATTCTAATATACATTGAAATGTAAGATTGTGGGTTCACGAAGTGAGATTTTAGGTATTTTATAAACAACTAAAATTCTTAAGAAAAATGTTGTTTTCACATAGAAAAGCTCCCCAACTTTGAAAAAATTGCATAATTTACTCCAGATTTGACTTGTTTATTCCAGTTTGCATTATTGTCAAGTAGAATAAAGGTTTCACAAATCTGTGTTTGTAAATCAGTATAAAATTATCCAGTCCAGATTCAACCAGATCAAATGTAGTAGATTTTTAACTAGAGATCATCAAATGCAGTCCGTTCTCATCAAACAAACCCCTGATTAATATTCCTTTAGCTTGGCGCTCATAGACTACAAGAAAATGAAATGCCTACTTATCATTTCATACTTCTTAGAAATCGTTTGTATATTGTCTGATGCGGTTATTTTTAAAAGTGTTGGAGGTTTCTTTAATGGCTTTGTGTTTGGTGTTGTCCATCCTGATGAGCAGTTTGCGAGCAGACTGTCAAGAACTGCTTTCTGTCTGAAACGTAGACTTTGGCAAACTTGAAGCATTGCCATGAGACAAGTTTCTCTTCAGCAAGAAAATGACAGGGAATGTTGAGATTAGAGCTGTAAAGTATGTTGAATTGCAAAAACACCTTAAGCTGCGATATTTGATGGCATGTTGTATTTTAAGTTGTACATATGCAAATTCTGCATCTCAGTAATGCATCTGGCCTATTAGACGGGCGTTCACTTCCCTCTACGTTCACACTTAATGTGTGCTTGCAGTGTCTGATGCTAAAACTAATAAAACTGTGATTAAATAAAGCCAGTGATGTAAATTGACATTGCTCATTGGTGCTGGTCATTTTAGCCATGAATAAATTTTAACGTGTAACAAGAAGCCACTGAGTTATTTATTTGGTGCAATTTTCACCTCGGTAGATGCCCACTTGTTATTTAAACACTGTCCAACTCGCAGTTTTTACGTCGGTGAGCCTCAGAACGATGCCGTCAGAAAGCAGAGTTGGCGAGGAATTGCAAAATGGGACGTGGTGTAAACTGTGCTCCATTAAAAACTAACTGCTGGTATTTGCTGGTTCTGCGCTGTCAGACTCTTTATGTTAAGTTTGTGGCCAAATCATGAAGCCTTGTGAAACTAGCCTGTGGATGAAGTTGTCCAAGATGAGAGCGAAAGGACATGGTGTTGGGCAAAGAATTAAAGATATTGTGGTACATTCAGTAATCGGGTTTTAACTGTGGAAAATTGTGAATGATGAAAAGCTTAACATCCCAAGATAGCTGAGTGATTACTAACTTTGTCAAATCTGTCTGGTCTTGGGGATAAGGGCATGGTAAGCATTTTATTGCTAATAAAATAAGTCTTATTGACCAGAATCATCTATAATTATGGAATGCCGTCTTATTTTTTGACAACTATTGAGAAATTTGATAATAGATTGGTGTTTTTCACTAGGCTTCCTTAGACAAGAGAGATAACAATCCTTAGTGATACATTAATCACAATTATTTAGAGAGAATTGATAATTATTGGTTCTTTTCCTTCAGTAACTCACATTAAGATGGTGATGACTTGTATATTTCAGCCTGCCTGGATACTTGCAGTGCAGCCATTGTTCACTAAGCGAGGCAAGCTCTACATGCCTGCTATGTCTGGAAAGAGCTTTCCAGTAATGCCTCATCTGGTCACCACAAATATTACAGAAATTTTAAAGCATCAAATGTGTTGCCATTCAGGATTTCCCCCATTATAAGGCCACCAGGCCACCAGGCTTAGCATTGCTTATTTATTCAAGTTTTTTTTTTAACGTTTACATTTTTTTCAAGAGCTTATAGTTGGTGTTCAGGTATTAATCCTCCAATTTTCAAAATAACACAAAATTATTAAGTGATATTTTCAAATTTCTTGTCAACTTTGAACACATTTTTAACTCAAAAATGCGATGGGCCACGGGATGAATGACTGCCGAGGGCCCAACCACCGGGCTTTGCAAGTTTTCTGGGGGAAACCCTGCCATTGGATATATTTTGGACACTGTTTATATTTTTACCCAGTTACAAAAAGACAAACCATTAAGAAAAAGGAAACAAAGGGACAACAGGAGCATCAGGTTTTTATTTATAAGTTGATGCAGACTTAACATTTTTTCACAGTTTGTAATATGCAATGTTAAGATGCTGTTGGTTGGCGTTTGCAAAGCAGCCAATCCAGAAGTACTATTTATTTTCCTCGGTGCTGATTGGCTAAACTTCCTTGAGAGGTAACGAGGAAGATTGTCGAAATTAGGACGTCTCAAGCTGATTTTAGCTATTCATGTGAGGCTAAATCACAGTTTCTAAGACAATCCTCTTTTTTTCCATTGATAATTATTGATGATGTAATCCCTATTTATTAAGAAGTTTGCTGATAAAAGGAAGTGATTCTCACTAACCAAGGCATACGTACTTTCCAGTGTAAAGTTGCTGCGTTTTGGGACAAAGTGAAACTTTGTCAGTAGTTAACAATACTAGTACATTTTGAAGAGCCACTAATTCAGTGATCAGTTGGTCTGAAATGCAAACAAAATAATTAACAAAATGGAATCATTTCAGAAACGGTAAGTTCTCGGGTCTTTCGTCAATATCCTATTAAGGGACCTGACTCCGTGTGTATACCAGTGAATGGCACCTACTTTGTGCCAGTTGCCTCTGACATTGCAGTGCTACTCGGCCACTACGTCTTGAAACTACAAAGTATCATATTACTGAAGGCTTATATGGCAATCGTTGGACTCCAGTTTTTCTTTATACAATCTTGTTTTAAAGAATTTAAGCCTAATTCTAAACGGAAGATATTTCCTTTTCAGTTTCTTTAATAAATTTGCATATTCTTAAGCCAATTTCTGGCTTACTTTGAGGTTTGAAAAGCAGGTTCCGACTTGGGCTGATTCAGATTTTTGTTTTTTGTTTAGTATTTTCAGTATTTCACCAGCCAGTCATGAGCCAGTCAAAGAAAAAAATCGGCCTATAATGATTTCTGGTTGGTTGATTGGTGCATCTCCAGACAACTTGGGAGGAGATGATGATAACTGATGCAAAAAGTTGGATTTCGAGTAGCCAAAACTCTTTTCAGGTCACAAAATCTATATGCTGACAGACTTTCAAACAATAAAAAGCAAATCAGGCTGCTAGTGTAAGGTGTCTCCCCTTTTCTTTTACCTAAATCATCAGCAACAGCAGCCAGAGGAGGAGGACATTGGTCCTATAAAGATATACTGTCCTTAATTTGCAGCTGCCATTTCCACTCTGCCCCCTGTAATTGAGATAAATCAATGGCACCAATAGTGCAGCCAGTGTACACACCTACACATCGTCCAAAGTGGATCCGCTTTCTCCCCTGATTCTCCCCTGGACCTGACTCTGCTTTTGTCTCTGCGATCATTATGTTAATGCATTTTATTTATATATATATATATATATATATATATATATATATATATATATATATATTTTTTTTTTATTTTATTTTTTTGTTTTTTGCTCTGTCGCAGTCTATTACTATCGAGGGACTGACTTGTACTTGTGTCACCTGCCACCTCTCATTTGCTGTTAAATAATTGAAGATCCGAGCAGAGTGCAGCAGAAAGTAGCAGCGGGTCGCTCGTCGTTAGGGATAATGAAAGTCGCCTTCATATGACAGGAAAGCTAGAAGACTTGCTGATCACACAGGCTGCTGTAATTATGTTTTCCAAAATACATGCAGATCTTTTTCTGGGTCAAAGTCAAATTCTAGCTTTTGCGTTTGAGCATATTTATACCCGTATCATGTTTGCTCTTGAAAGCTGATTTTAAAGGGGGGATTTTTCCCTCCCTCTGGCTAGTTTTTTAAAATGTTGAAAGAATTGCAGCAAATCTTAACAAATGTGATGATATTGTTGATTTATCTCACCATTTCGTCTCTGATGCCCCGATAGCAATGACTGTTAAAAAAGAAAAAAAGTGTTTGTGTGAGCAAGCGAGGGGGAACATTCAAAAACAAACCGCTGTGACTAGGCTGGAGCGCCGCTTCAAATGTCACACTTTGTTGAATGTGTGAGGGGAGCGCGTTTGAAAAGGAACTAATCTTTGGTTGTTTGTGCCCTTTGTTCGTAGGGGAGCTTTTTCAGTGGTGCGTAGGTGTGTAAAGAAGTCATCAGGACAGGAGTATGCTGCAAAAATCATCAACACTAAGAAGCTTTCTGCAAGAGGTATTGTATCCCCCCCAAACACACACACACACTCACACACAAATAATATGCATGCTTGATTTGATTTGTTGGCTTTAAATGTTAAGAATTTGTTTTGTTAAACATTTAAAAAAAAATAAACAAAAGTGAAAGTGTCTTTACAGGTACACCTACATAAATTAGAATATCATTTATTTATTTCAGATATTCAATTCGAAACGTGGAACTCATACATTATCCATTTCACAGAGTGATATATTTCAAATATTAGTTTTGGTTATTATGGCAAAAACAATCAGTTTCTTGTGAATTAGAATATGTTTCAAGTCTATTAAAAAATTGAGGATTTTTTAAGAGGGACCACTCAAAAATGTCAGTTCAGTATATTGTTAAGGCTCCTTTTGCTTGCATTATGGCGTCTTGACGGCGTGGCATGTAGGTGGTCAGCCTGTGGCTCTGCTGAGGTGTTAAGGAAGCCCGGGTTGCTTTTACGGCAGCCTTCAGCTTGGCCGTGTTGTTGGGTCAGATGCCATGCTCATTAATCCAGGTATTGGTACTTTTAACGGTGTGGGCCAGAGCCAAGTCCTGCTGGAAAATGAAATCAGCATCTCTGTAAAGCTTGTCAGCAGAGGGAAGGATGAAGTGCTTTAAGATTTCCTGGTAAACGGCTGCGCTGACGTTTAACTTTATAAAGCAAAGTGGACCAACACGAGCCGATGACACGGCTCCCCAAATCATTACCAACTGTGGAAACTTCAACCTGGATTCTGTGCCTCTTCACTCCTTCTCCAGACTCATTTGGTTTCCAAATGAAATGCAAACACAAGGAATGTGACAGTTGTAGGCCAAGTCTTGGATCCGTTGTATGTGTGTGTCGACTCATGAAGCACTGTCTCCAGCTTCACACTAAAGGCTGCAGTCATCTGTTATTTTGCACGAGGGCATAAACAATATATCAGATTAATCGTGATGAATCAATTATTGGAATAATAGACAACTAATTTAGCAATTGATAAATTAGCAAGAGCATAAAGACTGAAAAAAGGCCATTTCTGCTGTATATTCAGAGCAGAAATTAAGCCAAAACTGTACAAAAAGTATAAATAATTTGTATTTAAGACCATAGGGAAAACTTTGTTTGTACATGTTATACCCAGAACTGGTGGCAAAGTATGAGCTTCACCTGGTTCAAATTCTGTTAAAAAACTCTTTCCTATTAAGCACCTTTTGCTATCAATTATGAACTTGTTAATCCAAAAAATAGTCAACAGATTAGCCTGTATCGATAAGCCGAGCAGAAAATGGCTGAGCTTTTCACATATTGAGGTTTATAAGCATTTTCTAGCTGCAGACGGATTCCTTGCTGCATCCTAAAGGAATGCTGTTATTACATTGTTAGGCAATAAAATGTTTATTGAATTATTTTCTTATTTGCATTTATTGTATTTCCAATATTGTATAAAAAGGTTTTAATAAAAAGTCTGCCGAATGTGCCAATTAATCGTCAGAATAATCAACAGCTTAACCTTTTACTAAAATAATTATTTGTAGCCCAGATTTGCACCATTTTTGTCATGTTTTCCTTCAGCTCAACTTTCCACTGCTTGTACACTTCACTGTGTGAACAGGCAGCGACCTTTTCTGGCTTATCCTCCTAATGGAGGGTATAAGTGTCTGCCTGCTGGACAACTGTAGAGTCAGCAGTCTTCCTCTTGATTGTGTAGGCCGTAACTCAACATTTCAAATATCGCTGGCCAATAAATTGTCCCAGTAATTATTGCGATAAATTATATTGTTTTGAGGTCAATTTTAAGTGATATATTGATAATAATAATGCTAGCTTGCTCGTTCAAAGACCAATAAGCTATGATTTTTGTAAAAAACATTTAATACTAGAGCCAGAAGATGTTTTAAATATCCAAAATAAAACAGAAATAAAAACCACTTACTACTGAAACCATAAATAAAATGGATTATAGTGTCTTTGTAAACAAAATTTTCCTTAAAAACATTAATCAGAATGGAACATATCAAGCTCATTTTAGTTAATCATGCGATTAATTAATTGCTTATTGCAACAGACTTATTTTTAAGATGCACTTGATCTAAACACTTTTACATTAAATTATTTTATGAGTGTCCATGTAATGCAAATTTAATAGTATAACGAAGAGGTAGCTGCTTTGTCCACATTAACAGATTTCATACAGTTTGCGGCAGTAGCTGTCAGATTAAAGGCAAAGTCACAGCAGTTCCAACAGCAGAGGAAAAATTTTATTAAGCTGTTGTGTCTGTCAGCAACTTTTTAATCGTTTATTGATACTCCTAGTAAACGCCTAATTGAATAAGTTGCTGTATGCAATTAATTGCACCACTGTTGTACAGTTAATCGATCCAGGCTCATCGAAATCCAAACTTAAATGACAGGACAGACATTTTCAGGTGTCTCTGAGAAGGTTTCTCTTTTCAGATTGTCTTGTGTGTGTTGTACGTACATGTGGAGTTCACTGACATCTGCTGTGGTTTGTAATGATGATGAAATATCTCACTGCGTTCTTCTGTTTTATATCTGGCAAATTAAAGACCCAGATCTCCTCGTAGTTTTCACACACACCTGGGCCTCTTTGTTCTTCTTTCCTGCCTCCTCTCATTATCTTCTCACCTCTCCTTCATTGCCCGTCTCTGGTCTTTCTGAGCAGGGAGATTGGTTTGTATTGAGGCTAATCCACTTATCCTCAATGTATCTTCATCAACCACTAAGACCCCACAGAATCCATAGGCGCCTCCCTGTTTACCCTGTTGTTGACTGTGATGGTATTTGTCTGCATGTAGGAGACGAAGAGCGCACAGAGTGATGCTAATAGTCCATGTCTGTTTGGTGCGAGCTTGTAATGCTATTATTGCTCCATCCGTACCGTCAAGTGTCCACATAGTGCAGCTTCTAGTATTAATGTCCCAGCCATGAAAAGTAAGAGCTCAGCAGAAAGCTGTGGGCTCTTTGCAGAGGCAGAAAGTAAAGAGGAGGTGTGTGTGTCTGCTTAGAGAAGAGGATGAGTTTTAAAAGCATAGTTCAGTGATGCCTCTCTCCAAAGAAGCATGGTAAAGTGAAACGTAATAATAAATGATAGAATCTGTAGATTGAGTTTTGTAGATGGGCAGCTTTATAGACGGATACATGCAAACAAAAACATTCTGCCTGAGAGGATTTGGGATTTTTTTTTTTTACCCTTATGAGGTGAGTGTGGCCTCTTGCTTGGCCTGGTGGGTAAGTCTGCCAAAGCTCTGGTAAACACTGCAGTAATCTGAGGAAGGGGGAGGGGAAAGGAGGTGAAGAAGGAAGGAAGGAAGGGAGGAAACCAGAGAAAAGGTGTGAAGGGAAAACATCTCAATGGAAATGAAGTTTATGCTGCCTAGGATTGGACTAACCACTAGTAAAAAGTAAGATTTGAAGCAAAAGTGTCAAGCATTAAACATCTAATTGCTGTTGTTTATAACAGAAACGTAGGTTGTCATGTAGCTGTGAAAATATGTATGTTACAGGGTTTCCCCCAGTGTATTATATGCCTGGCGGGCCACCAGGCTTTACTTGTCTTTACTTATTTATTCAAGTTTTCTTTTAATACTTGCATTTTTTAAGAATTTATAGTTGGTGTTGAGATATTAATCTTCCAATAACATATAATTATCAAGTGATATTTTCAAATTTCCTGTCAACTTTAAAAAAATTTTTTTACTCAAAACACGATGGGCCGCTGGATGAATGACTGCTTAGCGCTCAACCACCGGCCTTAGCAATTTTTCTGGGGAAACCTTGTGTTATGGCTTTTTGTTTTGATTTTCACAAATGGACCTACAAAAATATAGAATAAATATCAGCAAGTTTAATAATTATTTTAGGCTTTATTGTGCAGAATGATGTCTCTTTTTCCATTCTGCTCTTAGAGTACCATGGGAGTACACAAGGGCAACGACGTACTCATACCTGTCAAGTCTCCCGTTTTGGCTGAGAAACTACCATATTTTACCCCTCTGTCCCATAAATTTCCCATATGAGAGTAATTACGCCAAGTTACACCTATTTAACCCATTGTTAACATGTCGAAGCGTGTTTTTCTGAGCCGTCTTTAAATGCAAGATGAGCGCCTGATGTACACCTGCGACGGAGACGCTGCTGGTGTGCAGGGCTGCACAGGTTTGTTTCAGAATCATGGCAGCAAACCAGCAAAAGGCAATAAAATCTCTGCATATTTTTTCCCTTCAAGCTAACAGAGTTGATTAATGCTGTTCGATACAGATAATGTTAGATAAATGATGCTACTCATTTTGTTCTCTATGTGAAAAAGTGGGGAGTACTAGTTACATTTACTTAATTCACTTTTTGGGGAAAAGAGTAGTTTTACTGCACTGTGCTTCATTCTTAATATTTTTATTGCTACTCTTAAGTGAGTAGATTGATTTTGCATTTAAAGAAATGGATGGACGTCAGAGATTATAAACATTAGATTCTTAGATTTCTGCAAGCTATGAACAAATATTTATGCAAAGTTAAGCATAATTACTCAACATTTACTTATGTTACCCAACCCACCTCCCTCCCCACCACCCCACCCTCAGCCCCACCCAAAATCCCCGCTCCGACAGCAGCAGGGGACGGTCGAGACGGTCAAGTCCAAAACTTGACAGGTATGCATGCATACTAGAAAATCTTAACATTTTGGTAAGTTTTTTTTATTCACTCATTTTTCTCGTCTGTTACACTGCTTCCAGTTTTTCTTGCAAAAACTTAACAGTTCTTTGCAATATCAATACTGCACACACTATTATTTGTAAAATTTGTGATGCTGAATTGGATGGCTAATTAACCAGGTAACCAATATTGAGCAAGGCTCTGGTATTTATACGATGATCAATTGGGACTAAACGGTGCAAAGTGTTGTGATTACTAAACTTGTCAGCAATAATTCTCTTCTTCCACCAGAAATATTCACATCTGAATATATTGAATTTATGATTGGCTTGTTTTTCTGTCTTAAATAAAAGTAATAACATCTTGTTATAAAATGTTGTTTTGTATCTTTGTAGTTCATGAAAATGTGGCATTTTAAGTGGAAGTTATCAAACCATGAGAATTATAAACTGGCCCCTGCCTAGATGTACATTAGTTACTTTTACATGGCGGCACTAAAAAGCGTAGGTGTAATGTGAGCATCTGAGCAGAATGAATGCTCTAATTCAGTTGTTGAAGTGACACTGGAAACTGGGCCCTTGCTGCATTGTCTGCAGCAACTGTGTGCCGAGGCAGAGAGGGAGGGTGAGATTGAACATTTATTTTATCGCACAACCCTAAAGTTACCACTCTTATGCTGTTTAGTTGCTTTACTGAAAAGCATTATAGTGATTCTCATTACTTTTGAGTTGTTCCAATCTTCAGCTCATGTTATCAGATTCTCTTTATCTAATTTTCATTAGTGGTCTTTGTATCTGAGTACATCTCTGATTTGCGTAACCATTAGGTGTTTATTAATAGTGTCAGCAGAGATGCACGGATTCTGCAAAATGTGCCTGATACTAGACACTTTGTCTTTTGTAGGATAAACTGATGAATGCATGATTTGATGGCATAAAAATTCAGGCTGCCTCTGTTACACCACTGACTCGCTAGGCGAGGTCGTCACAGACCCGCATCGCCTGAATTTCATTTAGGCAAGTCAGCTTTGTGGGTGGGGGGAGTGATGAAGAATGGTTTGTGAAACTAGCCTTCAGCAAGGTTTACAAATGTAACAAGACTCAGAAATCAAGTCTGATAAGAAGAGTAACGAGGTGAGATGTAGAATATACATTTTTAGGTGTTCACAGATTTGCAGTTTTGATGCTATAATTGAGACGATCGATTGGTGCATCACCAATTAAAATACAATTTTTGTTGAGTGGAGATATTTTGCATTGTAATGATTTTTTTCTGTCTTTAATGCTAGCATCTAGAACCTGGCACACACAAATCAAACGTAGATGCATGTATACTTGTTTAGGCAAATCAGGACCTATGCAGCTATCTTTAGAGAGAATGCCAAACCTCGTTCCTGAATGACTGCCACATTATTATCGAGTTTCCTCAGCTGTTTTGACAGCATTTCCTCGTCCTAACAGCTTGCATCAAACTCACCCAAAACAGACGGAGCTGAATTCACGAGCCTTCAGTTGAACTGTCAACTTTGTGTGGCTGATAAAGGGGTGCATGTGTGCGACTATGTGGGGTTCTCGCCATCCTTCGCAGCTAATGTAAGACGGCTTTGGGCCTGCCCCGTGGCAAAGCAGATGGCCAATTAGAGAGCAGCAGGAAGTGCCAGTAATTACCCTCCAGCCCTCTCTTTCCCGCCTTCCTTTACCACCCTCTTTCTCTCTCCCTTTCTCACACACCAACAAATAAGAAGATTGAATGAATTAGTGCTGCAGTGACACTGCACTGTGGTAGACAGTTTTACAAATGCGCGCGCACGCACAGGAGAACTGTGATCCTCTTCCAGCAAATGGACGCTCCACGTAATCCTCCCTCTATCTCTTTCTCTGTCTCTCCATCCTGCGTCACCGGTGTAATTAGGAGGTGGTTCAGGTCTCTCTGTCATTCAGTCGCTTCCTCACAGTTGAGGGAAATGCACACCTGCAGGAAGGTTCGTTGAAGGTACTTGAAGATTGTAGTTGGAACTCCTGTCTTCAACTTTAAACTCACTTTATCAACAAGTTGAGAAGTGTTTAAACTGCAGGGGCGGTAAGATAAGTGATGGGTGATGGTTTTGCTGCAGCATGTGAATTTTATCTGGGGTTGCTGCTGCTCTGTGGAAATGAATGCAAATCTTTGCCAGCCGGCCTCTGTGTCATGTAATCGCCATGGAGCTGTGTGGAGTTAGTTGGCTTAACCACAGTGATAAAACATGCACATTTACACACATCGACTTATAGTGCGTCCTCCTCACACTTGCGCCACCTGACTCATGACCTCAGCTCCTTCTTCTTCACTGGGGTTTTGTTTTTGCGGTTTCTGCATCCCGTAGAGATTAGCCAGTTGAGGAGTGTCGGCTGGTTTACAAACCAACAACTCTAAAACACACACACTCTCAGAGCTGCTGTGGGATTCGGTTAAATCCTCAAACAAGGATGTAGGTCTGGACATGAAGTGAGTGTTTTTCTTGTGAGGATCTCCTCCCAGCTTGAGGAGTAAATACAGCAGAGTTTGTCTAATGTGTTTCATAGGAACCCCTTCTGTATACGTGTACATAGATATGCAAATGCTCACACCTGCTTCAACACAGAGGCTTATTTTACGACTAGAGGTACGCTGATCAAAGATTTTGTTGCAGATTTCTGATCTGTGTTTTCTGGAACAATCTGATGACCTACCAAGACCAATTTTAGCCATTTGATTTCCAACCGGTGGATTGCTTCCTCTGGGTTGAAGGTTAGTTTGTGCTTCAAGGTGGGAGTTTTAAGTGTCCTCACCTTGTTCACGAGTGAGCGTTGAGTCTAGGTGAGGAAAGGTTAGATGGATTTGATTGGAGCTGGGTTGGTCGTAATCTGGGCACTGTTCGGACTTGCTGTGGTTAAGGGTGCATTCACACCAGCCCTGTTTAGTCCGCTTTATTTGAACTCTTGTTTGACTAGAAAGTCCGGTTCATTTGGGGAGGTGAAAATGTGCAATCAAACTCTGATGCGTGCCAAAAAAGTGGACTCTGATCCGCCTAAAAACCTAGGTCTTGGTTCATTTGAAATGAACTGTAGTGTGCCTCAAATGTAGTAATAATAATAATTTTAATTATAACTCCCTGTATATCTTCAATTGAAATCTCAAAGGGCACATTCACAAGCTGATGATGGTAAGCTACTGGATTGTAGCTCCAGCTGCCCTGGGGCAGTCTGACAGAAGTGAGGAGTTTTGCACGAAGCGTGAATGGTCTTGCCCAGGGACACAAATGATCCACCAATTGCAGGGCGAACTCCTACCACCACCACTACTATATATGTAGGACTGGAGTCTGCTCCAAAATCTGGAATCAAATTATAGAGCAGGGCATTTTGGGTAAATGCAACCAAACCAAATGTGTAAGTCTAACTTTAGCGTGAGAAAAATCTCATGATCTGTTGCCAAACAGAAATATGGAAACCACCAATTCCATTCTTGTTTGCATTTCGTAAAAAAGGAAGTTGCCCTCATGTCTTCTTCAGAGGTGTTTGTGTTGTTTCCTTTAGTAGATACTGGTGCGGCGCCATCACAGGCAAATGCGGAGAAAGTTTTTCAAAGGGTTTGTATCGTTTGACAGTGCAGTGTGAAAGCGAACTGCACCAGCTGAAAATGTAACAAATGTTGCAATTTTGGTCTCAGAACCGAGTCCCTCAGGTGTGAAAATCAAAGGTCTTGGTTTACTGACCATTTTCCAACCTTCAATAATGATTATGAAATTAGATTTTAGACATTTTATTGGGGTGCTATTGGTAAATGTTTCCAGGCATGGCTCACTTAGGAACTACACAGGAATACCGTGGGAAGTTGGAGAGTGTTTCTTGGAGCGGGGTGTCCTGGATTCACTCCTGATTACCCCCAAGACTCAATCTCAGATAGGCAGAAGACAATTAAACATGTTTTTTCTCCATAAATAACAGCTTCTTCCAATGACGTTATTATATTATTCATTCTGTACATTCTCTGTACACATGATTAACGGGATTGTCTTGGTTCTGGTCTGTGGTTTTGTCTTTGATCCGTGTCTCCCTCTGCAGTAACTAAAGTCAACTGTGCAGCAGAGCATCGTTTCTTCTTCATTTTTCCTTTTTTTGTTCACAGTTTCAGTTAACATTGTGAGAACATGCTGCTAGGACAGTGCACCTCTTGTAATGTAAAATTTGAATAGTTTATTTTTTCAATAAGTTCATAAACCTGTCAGTTATGTAAAATAGTGATAATAATCAGCTTTTTACTGCTTTCTTATCACTAAAAAAGTTGTATAATGTTTCTCAGAGGTTACTTTTGTTTTAAACATTTTAAATGGTTTTTCTTTTTTCCCATCTTATTCCAACTTGTTCTTTTTTTCTTGTTTTCCCTCAGACCACCAGAAGCTTGAGAGAGAGGCTCGTATCTGCCGTCTCTTGAAACACCCCAATATTGGTAAGTTTCTGTGCAAATTATCAGATGTGGATTACGTGTCTTTTTATTTTCTTCTTCATGAATAAAGAATTTCCAAATGTATTTATTTATTTATTTTTGAGAATAACCCCCTGAGATGTAGCATCTCCTTTTAAAGGGAGTCCTTACAAAAACATAAAATACAAATACAGATCATACTGAAATTAAAAGTTAAAAATGCAGGGTTTTTTTTTTTAATGGCGTTCTTGTCTTTTACCATTATAGCATTGCAATAAAACATCACCTCCACGATTAACGTCACACACTAATATTTCAGACTGCCATTAGCTTTGATTAAGGGATTCGCTGTGTTTGTTTTTATAAGCTTCTGCAACGTCTCAATATTTATTTCCATCCAGTTGCAATAAGTTTTTCACCAAAATCTTGGTTAAAAAAAAAAAAAAAGAGTCAGACCTCCTTCAAGATATCCCAAAACTCTCAATGTGGTTAAATATCTGGACTCTGTGGTGACGGAGAAGAAAATGTCACGCTCCCTGAGCCACTCGTTCATAATTTGAGCCTGATGAATCCTTGCATTGTCATCTTTGAATGTGGGCGTGCCGTTTGGGAAGAAACCAGCCGTTGATGGAATAACCTGGTCATTCAGTAAATTCAGGTCATCAGCTGGATATTATAGCTCGCTTACAATAGACCCTGGGCATGATGGGAGCATCACTTCATCTGAGAGATGAGAAGCTACTTGTTGTGTTGGTTGGTGTCAGTTTGTTGCCAACTGACCTCATACTTTATTTGCTTTTCATTTATTTCAACTGGATTAGATGTTGCCCAAAAGGTTTAGTTGGTCTCAGTTGACCAAAGCTCATATCTGTCCCTTGTGGAAAACTCTAAATATATCTTTTGACTTTCAGTTTTCTTCTTCCATAAAGACCAGATTTGTGGAGTGAACATTTAGTGTTTCAACTCCTGAAAGCTGTGCATCTCTGCAGCTCCTCCATAGTTACCCCAATCCTCTTGGCAGGTTTGTAGTTGTGCCGTAATCTTTACTTTTTCAAATTATGAGTTGAACAGTCCTCTAAGATGTCCAAAGCTTGGGATATATATAACTTAATGCTGCCTTAGATCATTTCTCAACTTTACCCCTGACCTGCTTCATGTGTTTCTGGTCTTCTTGATGCTGTTTGTTCTCTAACAAACCTTTTAGTTCGTCATATAACTATGTTTATTACCAACTGGGTGACTTCATTTTCTTTAGGGGTATCAGAGTAAAGAGAGGTAATACCAGGACAGCACAATGTATCACAGATTTATCTTGTGAGCTAATTATTTAAGTTCTGTGCATTCAGACTTTCAATAAAATCTTTCTTTCAGGAGGGACACAGTATTTTTTATTTATTCTGGTAGCTGTGAAGATATTACTACTGTTTATAGTAAGTAATATTGCTACAGCAAAATTATCCAGCATAGTAGCCTATCAGCTCCTTTCCTAATATTATTCAGCCCCAGCGAACGAACAGGTTTCAAATTTTTATTTAGAAAATGAGGATAAGTACTGTGAATTTAGATAACATTATGTGGCAAAATATAAAAATAGTTGAACAAATTCTTCTTCTTAACCCCCCCGAGCAAGTCATTGAACTAACCATGAATTACAGAAGCTACTATTTGTAAAGCACACAAAATGGTTCAAGGATTTTTATTTATTTCTATTCAGAACTTCAGTGTATTTCTATTGTTTGTGAACCACAAATAATGTGATCGTGTGATTACTTTGTCAACATTTCTGTTTTGTTGACATATTTGAGTGCATGTATGCTTCCTCACCTGCACAACATCCTTCACATCATTTGTCACCGACTGAAACTGTTAGAAAATTAAAAGCTACTTTGAAATTAGCTGAATAGATATGAATAGATTATCACTGAGATCTAATTAAACCCGAGTCCTGCTGCTCATGCTAACATTTATTTTTCTTATTCAGTGTGATAGCCATTAATCATTTTTATATGCTGAACGTTTATATAATTGTTTCGGTTTCAGACGTTTTTATTGCCTTTTTAAAGCAGCACTGAGGATTAAAAAATAATGCAGAGTCCAGCTTTAATAGAGATGTTCAATAGCGATGGCTACAATGAAAGGACAAAATCAATGCCACCTTTAGCGCTGCTCTCCTTATTTCTCTTCTGCTCATGTCCTACTTCTCTCTCGCCCCCCCCAGGCATTTGCTCACCCCTCACCTAATCTTCCTGTTATCTGTCTTGTCTCTATAGATTTTTTTTTCTCCTCATCCTTTTCCTTTCTCCTTTTCTTGACATATCTCAGCGTCGTCTACGTTCAAACTTTAGACAAAGGAGGGTACAAAAGAGGAGACATATGGAGACACAAAAGCACAAAGAGAAGGAAACAGATGGGAGGAGGAGGGAAGAGCGGTCACACTTGTTTCTTGCTGCAGGGGCATCCTACTTCATCTTATTATACAACTGATATGCACTTTACATAACTATAACTGTTTGTCTGCTGACACTGAACCTAAGCTGTATCTCAGCAGGCGTTGAGGCCATCGGTCGGACAGCGTCCTGCTTTGTCACCATGCTGCTGTTTAGTTGACAAGTTTGGCTGCTGAGGTTGCTGCATGACCGCATTATGCAGTTCTCTTTACCAGACCGGGTTATTTGTGGCACCAATTAGAAAACAAAGTCTCTTTCCCATGAAAATTCAACTCTAAATGTCTAATTCGCTTTTCATTTTTCTAGTTTGTGCTAAAGGAGCCACAAAGCAGATGTTGTCATAAATAGACATTTAACAGAAGCACTAATTACTGCAATCATTATTGGATCATTAACTAATGTCTTATTTGGACAAAATGTTGTGCAGTTGAAACCAGGGATGCACCGATTGCAGTTTTCTGGCCAACCTTTAAATAGCCAGACCTGCCGACCCCAATTTTGGCTGATACCAATTTTTTTTCTGAAATGTTTTGTAAATATAGCAAGAAAGTCACTGAATTAGCAACAGTGGGGTGACTATTGTTAACTGCAAATGTGCAGACATGATCTGGTGGGCCGGTCTAAGAGTAGAGCAGAAGAAGACAGCGGTTGATTTTAAGACCTTCGATGAGGTAGATAAGATCGGTGGATTAGATCGGCTTCACATGCAAGTATTGGCCAATCATCAAGGTGCCAAAATTAACAAAATCAGCACAGATGAATCGGTGCACCCTTGGTTGAAACCAGAAGTTTATGTACACCAAATAGCAAGACCTGGCCACCTTTTAACAAAACATGAACACCATGTTTTTGTCACTGTCTGAAGTTAAACCAAACTTCTCTTGTTTAAGGTCAGAATTACGAGAATTACTTGTTAAATTCCACAATAATGAGAGAAATTATCTGTCAGATTTGTCTGTTGTCTTCAAAATCAGAGCTTTTCATAAAGAATAATTACCAAATCTAAATAGTTGTTAGCCAACCACTGTGAATGTTTTCCATTGTTCCATCTTTTCTCTGTTAGTGGACAGTTTCTCTCACTGTGGGTCACTAGAGTCCCAATCCCTTAGAAATTGTGGTTTTTAGACGGATATGTTAATAATCATCTATAGTCAATTCTTTCATAGCTTTAGATCAGAGCAGGATATGTTTTTGAGATCTTGTAACCTACTTCAAGTTGTCAGATGAGTTCTATTTAAACTTTTACTCTACTTTAGTGAATCAAAGTCTGTTTAATCACAGTTAGTTCAGGATTTATTAAGGGTGGCGATTACTTTTTCCATATAGAACCGGCAAAGATGCAGCTCAGTTTGAATGATTAGTTTCCTCTGCAACGCAAGAGTGAGGAAAATATGAAAACAGAAGAAATGCCTCAGGGGGCACAGTATATTTGACACCCATGTTTGTTGGAGGTGCTAACTTGCCCATACTTGGGTAAAGCTGAGGTTTCACAGCATTGTGCTGGTTTCAGAACAAGAGCTATTTCCTTTGGCTGTTGCTACTTCTGTTTCACATGTTATGCAGTTAAAGACAGTTTGAAAAACTCATTTCATGTTTGCATGATGGCAAAATTTCCACTTTAGTGATTGAACTTCTGTAACTCTTAAGATAAAGAAAACGTGCTTCAGGAGCTTCGGTTTTACAGTTTCTTTCTCTTTAATTTATGTCTAGATTTAACCACCAAACACTGCAGAAAACCTTATTTCTTTCATCTCCTCGCTGTTTTTATTCTGTGCTCTCACATCCTCCCCTCTCTCTTGCAGTGCGACTTCATGACAGCATTTCAGAGGAAGGCTTTCATTACCTCGTCTTTGACCTGTGAGTATATTCTGTGCACGCACACGCTGACATTTCATCCATGCACATAACCTCGCTTTGTTTGTGTATGCTAACAACTTCTTTCTCTGTCCTTCCTGTCTCATCGACTCTCTCTTCCTCCAAATTCTTTCTTCTCCTGTCCCTTAGTGTGACAGGCGGAGAGCTTTTTGAGGACATTGTAGCCAGGGAGTACTACAGTGAGGCTGATGCCAGGTAAGATTCCCCAACCAAATGTAAATATCTGTGCAGATAGAGGCAGAAATGCACAGTGTAGCCATGTGAAAATGTATCATTGCCACACTCAGGCTCATTTTAAATGCACCGCTGTGTCTTGATGTGCTCACACACATAATTGGTTGGCTTGTATTCTTGTCAGGAAATGCATCCTCCCTGTCAACAAGTGCAGTAATGTAGCTTTCTCCCATCTCTCATGCTGCATCATTTCTGTCAGTTTTGTTGCGGCAAGAAGACGACGGTAAAAAAGATTTAATGGATCAATTTTGGTTATTTATCTGGTCAATGATTACAATAATCTGCAGCGTTTCAACCCTAGTTTAATATCTCCAGCATTTGGGAAAATGCTTTTTTTATTATTTTTTCGTCTATTTTCCAGTTAGAGAATAAGAAATCTGCTTTGATCTTTGCTCATTTTTGCTGTGGAAAAACCTGGTTGTCAGCTATAAATGAGAGATATTGGAAGTTAAAGCTAATCCAATCTATTTCAGCTCTAATTAGATCTGTACAATATATTAAATCTGAATTATCAACCAGTGTTGGTGTGTGCTGTATTACAAAAGATAATATTACGATAATAAATTTTACAGGACAATAAATCGTCCCATAAATTACTGCTATAAATGATAATATTGTCACTTTGAGCCCATTTTTAACTAATTTGATTATAATGGGAAACTAATGTACGGTCAAAGATTAAGAAAAACTTTGATTTCTATAAACATTGGAACTGGAAAACAATAAACAAACAAAACAACAATAATTAAAATGGATTATGAAGTTTCTTTTTAATCAGTTATTTAACCAATTGTCTGGTCTCTTCTGGCTTTTGTTGGACACTTTAAGCTCTCAGAAGATAATGGGAAAACTGGCATGACTGAAAAGAGTCAAGAAAATATTCATCTTACTTTCTTTAGTCACCGGAATATTCAGAAATAATATTGCAGTCATAATGTTGTGAGATATTGTGCAGCTCTAGGTCAATTTCAAATAAGGCCTGGACTGATTACCAGTATAAAGGTAGACCAGAGTTTTACATTTTCCTTCTCGACTAATTGGGGGAAATATCGACAGTTTAATCGACTCTCTGAATAATCATTAGTCCCAGCCCTATTTTAGTGGTCGCAGACATGCATTTTTTATTTATTTCGGTGTCGAGGTATGTACTATTTGTCAGAATTTTGAGCTGAACTTTAATGGGTGCATCTCTTCAAGCTCATCTTTGGGGAAAGTCCTAATTTTAAGCCATTTGTTATAAATGTATGTCCTCTTCAACACCCAGCCAGCCTCTTAACACCGCTGTGTGTTAAACTGGGTTAATGTAACGCTTTTTCTGCTTTAATATACTCTGCGTTTTTTAAGCTTAAAAAACCAAAATGCAGTGCCGTTTAGAAGTTCACATTCACTCAAAATGCCAACAGTTTTTCATACTTACTTTGAGCCTTTAGTCATACATTATGTTTTATTTCTTTATTTCATGATTTACTGACAATGCACCTGTTTTAAGCTTTGATGAGCACTGGGAGCAGAAGTTTCTCTAATCCCCACTGGGTCATAATTATACATACAAGCTCCAATACACCCCACTAACATGGGCACTTCGACAAGACGTTATTGTATCCATCAATAAAACTTCTGAGTGGATATTTGATAGAGTTGCAATGCAGGTGCTGAATATCAGTTCTGTTTAACCATCTGCCCGTAATGACCTTCAGCATATTGACCTCCAAACATGTGCATCGCTCAAGGAACATTATGCAGGCCATACTTGTTTCTTAGCATCTAATAATGATACAACATGTTGCATTTGGTAAGATGTTTAATATTATCACCAAAGTATTTGTGTCAGTGCACACCTTGATATTGTGATTTGTGCAGCTTTAATATTTGATCACTCTTAGCAGAATTAGTAGACAGAGATTTAAAGTGGTTGCTTTCCTGGCACTGACTGGCCTTTTGATAATAATCCAAATAAATTCAGTATTTCAACTATGGCTGCAGCTCCTCATCATCCTAACCACTTTCCTTTCATCCAAGGAGGGCAGTTTGGGTTTAATGGTGCAAAAACTGGACACAGTTGACTGTTCCTGCTGAGAAATGCTTGTCAGGTTTGGTTTTGGAGTAGACACATAAAGGTTGATATCAGTGATGGGGAAATTAAACTATTAGTGTATTCTATTGAGAAACAGAAAATGTTCAATGACGATAACCCTGATAGATTTAATAACACGCTCAATACACAGCATGAGGCTTATCAGGCAGCTTTTTTACAAGATGGAGAAGAGATTGCAACTAGTTGTGTGGAACTGCTTGTTTTAAAAGATGCAGCATTTTCACTGTTGAACAGTATGGCAAAATGTGTCTTTACATCATTGTTGCTAGCCGAGAAAGTGGAACATGTTTTACTTGTTTTAGGTGACGTGAGTTTAGTTTTGAAACTAAATGTCATTGTTCATAAGTCATATGTTTGATTTGATCTGTTACTCAGTTTATATAAAAAATATTAAAATAAATGCAATTTTAGAATTTGGATTGTCTGAAACAGTGATAATTATTTAAATAATAAAATAAAAAAATGTTAGATGCACTAGTCTATATTAACCTTTCAAAAACAGGCTTTACCTCATTTTCACTGAAAATGTTTTCACTGTATGCTTAAATCTGATTACAAATCAGTTTAAATGAACAAATCGTCAAGTATCCCATAAAATAATGCCAAATTCTAGAAAGTGTTTAGTCAAATGGAGGGGACATTATGTATCTGATGTACAATTTTAACCATTTGTGAATTAATCTAAGTCATATACTGTGTAATGTTTATTATTAACTGTTTAAATAAATAACTGTTACTTATATCAATTAGATTAACTTCTGATGCTGCATCTACACAAACTTCCTACTTTTTTCTCAAAAATGTACGCCATAACTGCCCTTAAATGCACAGCAGATGCGTCTTTCGCTCCCGAGTGTCTCTCATGAGGCTGCTCTTCCTCGTGATTTCTAGATAATGTTGCAGTGAAATGCAGTTTTGTAGTGGCACGAAATTCCCGCAGGCTCCGGCAGAAACACACGACAGACAAATCATGTGCAGCGAACGTCATGTTTTTGTGATGAAGGCCAGTGGCTGACACTTCGCCCTGTTTGTCCTCTTTTCTGTCTTCCTCTCTGTAGTCACTGCATTAGTCAGATCTTGGAAAGTGTCAATCATATCCACCAGCATGATATTGTGCACAGAGACCTCAAGGTGAGTGAGACGACCACGCACACTCTCTTACCCACACCTCTGCTCGTGGCCATGGCAACACACAGATGGCTCTCAGTCTCCATTTCTTTCTCTCTCTGCAGTTTTTCTTCCATTCCTGTGTTTTTTTCCTCCCCTCATCTCCTGTGTTCCCCTCCCGTTTTATTTTTTCCCCCTCTGTTTCTCTCTCTGTTGTCACATCTGTCATCCTCTCTGTCCTTGACCGGAGTTGCGCGTATGTGCTCATGCATGTGCGCCCATGCTGAGCACAGAGATGGTGAGTCATGATCACGTGGAGGGGTTCGTCTCCCACCTTTGGCACGGAAAAAGACGAGGACTCGAACAATGCATGCATGCAGGATTACATGCATGCATGCATTTTTAGTTCTGCCATGAGCAAAGAGGTTAGGGCACAGCCACAGGAGTTGCCAGGACAACCTGCGTGACGACATGCCTCTCGTGCAGCATCGTGGGAGGGGCTTGAGTTGACCTAGATTGCTGATTGGCTCAGTTTCTGATTGGCTTTCAATGCAGGAAGAGGGCTTCTATGCAACTTCTATTTTTTTTTCCTAACAGAGTTTCTCTAAGTCATAGAGATGATTTCTTCACAGGTTCAAATGTTCATTTTTACAGATTTTTACATAGTTTGAGAACTTGTAAAGGTTGTACCAAACAGTTTCAGTTGGTCACATCGAGGTAGAGTAGTGCCCTCTGACCCCCAGCTGGTTGCTTAGGAGACATCTGTCCAATCATCCATCTTTGTCTTTTCATTCATCCATCCACCCATCCACTCATCTGTCCGTCCTTTTAACCATCGTTTCTCTCTATCATTCCCGTTTTCCATCTCTGCTTCCTGTCAATGCGTCCTTCTCTCATCCATCAGTCTGTTTCTCATCCATTTCTCATCCACCCATCTGTTTCTCATCCGTCCATCCATCAGTCTCTTTCTCGTCCGTCTGTTTCCATCCATCCCTCCATCCGTCTTTGTCTATTCATTCATTTATTCATCCATCTGTCCATTTGTTTTTCATCCATCCGTGTATTTGTTCCATCCATCCATTCGTTCGTTCATTCATTCATTCATCCATCCATCTGTCTCTCTTTTCATTCATTTATTCATCCATCTGTCCATTTGTTTTTCCATCTATGTCTCCATTTGTCTAACCATCAGTTTGTTCGTCCAGTCACTCATCCATATGTGCATCCATCTGTCCATCTATCACACTTTCATCCATTTCTCCATTTATCCATCCATCCGTCGTGCAGGTTCCATATTTAAAATTTGTTTGCCATGTCTCATCTTCATCTGCCATTGTGAACGTTTTCATACTTTGCTAATTTGAGTCTGTAAGTCGTGTTTTGCTGAATTCTGACGTTTACTGATTTCGCCCCACATCCTCACTGTGCCACCAAGGACTGCAATGCTTAAAAGAGAGAACATGTTTAGTAATTTTCTTAATATTTTTGTTATATTTTCTATAACATTTTTGTTTGACTATGAAGGAATTCACAAGGTGAGGGTTGCCAGATTAATCTCTGTTCCACCTTTATGTGATTGTTAATATGGTAAAGAAAATGTGCATCACCATAGATGTTATTGGTTGTTGTATTAACAGGCTGAAAAGGGCGGTGTGTTTTTAGCTTTGTCGCATTTAATAATCGAGGAATATAATCCAATTTTTCAGTATTTGACCTGCGTCTCGCCGATGCAGAGCCTTTCGAGGGAAGCATACGATCTCTGGTGGATTGATTGGTGCATCACTCCTGAAAACATGCCTCAGACTTGGATGTGCGGTTCCTGTGTCCCAGAGTAACGCTGTTACCTCGAGCGCTGCATGGCTGATTTGTTAGCCTTTTATCCTGAGTGGGCTTTTTCCTGCGTTCCTTCATGTCCCACTGCCCAAACTACAGCCCTTTAAAACGCTGCCACACATGCCGCCTCTCGCCAAGTACGCTCTCCGTTTAGCATGCAGCGTGCAGCTCTGCCCAAATGCCTCCCGAGTGGTTTCCATGGCTACCAAACCATGCCCATATAAGGTGTCGTGAAGATTGTTAACTACCCATCCTTTCCTCTTTCTCCTCTCTTTCTGTGGCTTTCTCACACCTTTCCTCCACCCCCACACAATCTGTGTCAAATGCATCAAAAATAAATATTTCTGAAAAAGAGCTCCAGTGACGAGTGTCTGCAATTATCTTCATCTCTTGTCCTACATTCTGCTTCCCCATGTGTGTGTGTGTGTGTGTGTGTGTGTGTGTGTCTCAGCCTGAGAACCTGTTGCTGGCCAGTAAGATGAAGGGAGCTGCAGTGAAGCTGGCAGACTTTGGCCTCGCTATCGAGGTGCAGGGAGAACAGCAGGCTTGGTTTGGTAAGAAATCACACAGAAACTCACGAATGTCCTTTTAGCAGTGGATAGTTTGAGTTGTTGCTAAATAAGTCTGATAATCTGCAGAGGAGCACACCCACTGCCTCTCAGAAGCCATAGATTATTTGCAGGGATCGTTGCTTAAACAAATCACTTCCACTTTGTAGTTTATGCTTGGGTCATTTTGTCTTGGCTGACAGCTGAGCTGCCTCTGTTTGGCAGAAAGGAGTTGATTAAGCTGCATTTTCTTGTGACTCCAAAATTTTTACTCCAGTAAGAGTAGCACAACTTTTACGTAAAACGTAGCCATTCTAGAAATTACTCGAGTAAGAATAGTATTTCATAAAAAGGCGACCCGAGTACTGATTGTTTCATCATAGTACCTGATTTTATGCTGTATTTAAAAATGTCTGACAGAAAAAAATATAAAGGAATGTACAAATTCTTATATTTTAAAGATGGAAATGAAAAAACACTACAAATAAATTGTTACAACATATTGGATTTACTCAGAAGAAAATCCTTGCAAATAAAATATTTAAAAATAAAACTTATGAAACTAATACTTACAGTAGGTAGTGTGTGTGTATATAAGTGCTTAAGGTGACAATATTTAGAGTTTACTTTATATTTTTGATCTCCAAATGGTACATCAGGCTAATATTAGAATAACAAAGCTTGTGTGCAAACAGGAGCTCCCACTTTTACATAAATTCAAGGTGTGTTTACTTGTCTGGTCCATTTTGGTGTTACTCTCAGCTTTCAGAAACTTTACTCTAATAAGAGTAGCTATTCTTCATATTAATATTACTCAAGTAAAATTAAAAAATAATTTTCTGAAATTTCTCCAAAACATAACTCAAGTGAGTTTAACTAGTTGCTATCCACCTCTGTCATCTGTTCTTCCATAAGAAGACAAAAATTGTATCATTTGGAAAATTTCATACAAATACACAAATACACAAAGTCCAGGTGATGATTTTACTGGTGTCTGATCACAATTTCTGAATTTTCTTTGGGTCAGGATTTGCTGGAACTCCAGGCTATCTTTCCCCGGAGGTGTTGAGGAAGGATCCCTACGGCAAGCCTGTGGATATATGGGCCTGCGGTGAGTTTGAGCTCACAGTTTTAAAGTCCCACATCTTGGCTTTAGCTAAATAAAAACATTTTCCTGGGGCTTGGTGATTAATTGATTTTATTGATTCATCACGTTTGGATTTTGGAAAATCTGAATTTTTATTTCCGAATGATATTACCAGAATAAAGTCGTAATTTTATGAGAACTCCAAAAAAATAAAAAATAATGTGCAAAGTTGAGCATCTTGTGAAGTTATGTTTAAATTTTACAGATGATACTTGATATAAATACTAAAACACAATATCAAATTATCAGTAGGAGGACTTTGAAATTGTCCATTTCAAATACAGAACCACTGAGCTTTTGTCCTCATTAAAAATAACTTTTTTTTTTGTCATTTTAAGACCTTTCTTCTGTTAATATGATTACTGTTCAGGTAATTTAACAAAAATTATCATAGCCAGGCCCTAACAACTCATAGAAGGGATGATTGAAATAAAAGCCGTTTTGAAAATATTTCCTGTCATTTGTAATTTTCTTTTTTAGAAAAGAAAGGATGAAAAAAAAAATGTATCTGGTATAAATAAAATCTGAGATTTTTTTTTTTTTTTTTTAACCATATCTCCCAGCCTTACTACTTTTTCTAACTTTTCTTTTTGGTGTGATCTCTCTATTCTGATATAACAGTTTCATTTTTGTTAGTCTGACAATTACAGATCCGTGTCAAGAAATTAAAGTATCATCAAAAAGCATTTCTGTTCATTTTGATGATTATGGCTCACAGCAAATGAAAATATAAAATGTAGTTTCTGTGAAAAATGTACAGCACGTTTATGGTGTAATCTCTTGTTCAGGAAGGAATTCACACAGATGTAGACTCAGTCCTAGATGTGTCCATGTGTGGCGGCGCTTGAAGCTTGTGCAGCCTTTTATACCAGTTTTTCCTTCCACACAACTTTCCATTATGATGAATGGATAGAGCACTCTTTAATCAGCCAGCTTTCTTTTTTCGGCTCACGGTTTTGTGGGCCATAAGATAAAAACAATCAGAAATAAATTGTTGGAAAACATCACTCGTATAATGAATCCATGTAACATAATGTCGCTTTTTGAGTGAACTTGCTGAAATAAGTTAGGTTTTCCTCTGTGTTTCCTGTTGTGGAGCGAACCACCTGTTGCCTAATGCTCCTTATTGTCGACCACTTCATCCGGCTTTGTAACATGATCTTTCTTCCCGCCTCTTCCTCCGCCAGGTGTTATTCTGTATATCTTGTTAGTTGGATATCCTCCTTTCTGGGATGAAGATCAACACAAACTCTATCAGCAGATCAAAGCTGGAGCGTACGATGTAAGTGCTCTTTGTTTCTCTCCGTGCGTGTGTGTTGGTGTGCATTTGTGGTGGGTGCAGTGCAGAGGTTTGGCTAAGCACTTTTTGAATGTTTAATAGTGTCCAATCGAGATCTGGTCCAAAGCTATTGATCCTATCAGGGCTTTCCTGACGCATTGCAGAGGTGTGTGTTTGTGTGTAAGCAGGAGAATGGGAAGGTGTATCCTATCTTCTAGTTGCTGTTTAATCAAGTCACACTGCAGCGTTTTGTAGAGTTCCTCCTTCTGCACTTGCAATATAACAATGGCTTTTGCAAATTTTATAATAAATCTTAAAGTGGTGCTCAGATGTTTTTTTTTTTTTATGGTCAAACATATGCAGAAAATCTCCAGCGGGTCTCTTTAGAGAGGAAATATAGATTTCAGCTCTGTTCTTCTTCCCACGTCTTCATTTATGTTCAAAATGTCCGCAGTTCCCGTCTCCAGAGTGGGACACTGTCACTCCAGAAGCGAAGAACTTGATCAACCAGATGCTGACCATCAACCCAGCCAAGAGAATCACTGCTGAACAAGCCCTGAAACACCCATGGGTCTGCGTAAGTGACCCAGTCACACAGACTGCTTTGAACTATATTTACTGATATGTAGATTCAGAAACGTGTTAAAGCCAATCATGGTTTGCTCTCTTACAGCACCGTTCGACAGTGGCGTCCATGATGCACAGACAGGAAACTGTTGAATGTCTGCGTAAATTCAACGCTCGCCGAAAACTCAAGGTAGAAATCTTCTCCTGGGATTTTTCTTTTTACACTTTACAACCAATGTAACGATTCTTCTGTTCACTACCACTGCAATGTGGCAGGATTTAAAAATGTCTGCCAGTAGGGTTTCCTTTCATCAAACTCAGTTTCACTCAGAACAACTTATTGAATCTCCAGTTCATTGCTAATCTCATGTTGGTCAAGTTTGTGCCAAGTTATGAAGGATTTAGTTTGGCTCAAGTTGAATTCAAATCTCTCTGCTTTACTTAAATAAAGTCAGATCCAATCACAGTTCGACTTTATTTCAGTCCTAATTATAATATCGTACTGTTGGGTAGTTTTTATACATAAAGCCTTGTTCACACTGCAAGATATTTATGCTGATTTTTAATTGAATTTTCCCCTTCCGTTGCGTCGATTATTGTTATCTTCTTGTCATCTAAAGATGATATTAAGAATATTGGGGATATCCAACATGTTGGATTGTCTTGGCCCGGTATCCCAAAGGACAAACAGACATGCAGCCTTTTAAATGAAACATGTAGCCAATCAGGGAGTGACGTGACAGAAAGACGGAGGGAAATACAAAAGACAAAACTGCTGCGATCACGCACCAGAAAGTCCGGTTCACATCTGAGATGTTTTTTTGTAATTTTTAGTTTCTCTGTTAGAAATAGTCTACAACCTATCGCCATTGCTCCTTCCTCGTCGGCCATGTTTGTTTACTCTGATCTCAAGTGTTTTTCTTTTGGAGATTTCCCGTCTGAATGTGTTGTCTTGTGGCTGTACACCACACACCTGTTGTCTCTGTTTTTATCATCATGTTTGACCGCTCAGGTTTTGAAAATCAACCAACAATTTTTAAATCTTGCCATGTGAATCAGGCTACATTCAATCTACACGGTGGGCTATAAGTTTCCATACATAGGAAAAACAAAAATTTTATATTGGACAACCATTTTTATTTTTGTGGGACTTTGTGTAATCGCTGCACGTCTTGGACCACTTCATGGTTGATCTGCAACATTTTCAGTTTTCTGAAACTTGCAAATACGTTTTGCCACAGTGTCGTGTGTGAGATGCTCCTTCCATGTTTTCTGTTAAAGTTTTGCAACCATGCAACTGCTTCACGATCCAGCCATCAGAATAATTTCAATTCTTTGCTCTTTTGTGAAACGGATCTTCTTGGGTATCTGAAATATAAAAGAAATACACATTTTACATTCTCCTATGTATGGAAACTTACGGCCCACCCTGTAGTCCAGTCCTAGACTTATCCAGAGAAGTACGAGTGGGAATGTGATGATGTAGTTCTAAGATGGGAAGTTTTGATATTTCATAATTCTGCCATAAACGGCAATGGATACACAATATCAGGAGATGACTCAATATGCAGACATATTTCTGCCTGATAACAATCCAAAGCAAGCAGAGTTTCTGAAGTACACAAAGCTTGATGTAACATGAGGACCTCCAGTGAAACACACAGCAGGATGGTTTAAAAGTAAAGATGACACCTAAGCTCTCCTGCAAATGGCAGGAAACTCTATAGCTTTTGATTCCTAATTATAAATTTCTTGATGATGATTTTAAAATTTTTTATGTTTTTTTTGTTATTTCATGCTTGCAACAGGAGTCCTTACTTTTAGATCTACTATACAACTAAACACAGAGCTACCTGGGATTTAACCTCCTGATAATTGTATGTTTTAAGCTGTTTAATATTTAAACATTTTGGGTCTCAGCTATCATATGTATGCAGGACTCTGTTGTCATCACTTGATTTGTTATGTTATGCCATCACTTTAGCATTCATCATAATTTTCATACTGTATATTTTGTGTTGCTATGACGCTATCTCAGATGTCTAAAAATACATCTTTCTTGCACTGCGGCATAAAAAAAACCCTGTTTTTCTAACACTTTTATGATCATCACTGATATGTAGATATCCTGACCCATTTAAAGGTAAAGAAGCCCAGCTTTATTCCTTTCTAGGGAGCAGCACTGAAATGCTGCTCCCTAGAAAGGACAGCAACTAGTAATAGTTGCTGTAGTTTGCATTCATGGTCATTCATGCAAACTATTGGAATCAAGCGGCAACTGTTCTGTTTCTTCACATCATTTAGATCCTTTTGCATAAATAAAGGTGTAACACGACTCTCTGGACTTACTGTAACGGTGCCTTGCAAAGGTTTTCACACCCTTTCAATGTTTTTCTTTTTCACATTACAACCACAGACTTCAATATTTTTCAGTAGAATTTTAAGTGATAGAACGACGAAACTGAAAGTAAAAGGATAGTTTTCAAGCATTTTTACAAATAGAACATCAAGAACTACTGAAGGAAAGTTCTTGACCGAAGAAAATATGTGCATCTTCCTTCTGCACAAAATGTAAACAAAAAAATGAAGATTTTAGAGGTTTTAGGATTTCTCTTTCGTAAAAGACAACGAACCATTTCTCCTGTTAGTACCAGACGCTTGCGGCTGTTTTGGTTGTATTTACCCAGAATGCCCTGCGCGGTAGTCTGATTCCTGCATTTGGAGTGCCCTCCGATGCGCTTTGCAATTGATTATGCATTCAAACTGCGTCAGTTCACTTCAAGGGAACTTAGCGGAGGTTTTTAAGTGAACCAGAGTTCGTGTTTTTGATCCGCATCAGTTCGGTTTCACATTCACACTTCCCCAAACAAACTGAACTTTCTAGACAAACTAGAGTTCAATTAAAGCGAACCAAACAGGTGTGAATTCAAGCCCATTTTCTGTCTCCTCTAGCTGGATGCCCTTTTTGCACATGTTCACTACATGTGTATTTGCACTACATGGATTGTGGCAAGGACATTCAGATTTGTGGAGAGCACAAATCTGAATGCGTCAGCCGATTCCCCCACTCTAAGCTGTGGATCTCTGCAGCTCCCCTCATTGCCATAAGCCTCCTGACTCTTGTTCTTGTCTGGTCTTTGTTTAGTTGGCGTATGAATTGGAAACTTTGTAGACTGAGCCGTAATCCGTCTCTCGTTACGTTTCACAACATAACCGGACTTTTAAGCTTCTCCGCCATTTTCTTCCTGACCTGCGTTCTCAGTCTTCATGAGGCTGTTTGTTCTCTGGTTTTCTCTAACAAACCTCTGAGGCCTTCACAGAACTTTATCTTTAATTGCACACAGGTGGATTCTTGTGAAGGTAATTGGTTGCACTGGACTTTATTTGGCTGAATATAAATGCAAGCCACTCTTTTTTTAGATTAGCATTAAAAAGTGAAGAAAAAAATCCCTACCCATTCATGGTAATTATGTAGTACTTTATCACATAAAATCAAAAAGAATATTAAAGTTTGTGGTTTTGATGTGACAAAATGTGAAAGTGTATGGATATTTTTTGCTTCTGCTAAATTTGCAGAATAATAAATGCCTTTTGTCCGATTTGAACTGAAACGGTTTAAAGGAAAAGCAAAAATCCTACCAAACAAAAACTTCTGTTCTCTCTCCTCATCTTTCTTACATCTTCTCCTCCTTCGTCTTTTCCTCCAGGGAGCCATTCTCACCACCATGCTGGTGTCCAGAAACTTCTCAGGTGGGTGTGCCCTTCGCCCTCTGCCTCCCACGCAGAACATGCAGAGGGAGAGGAGGAAGGAGAGTGGATAGAGTCCTCTGCACCTCTTTTAACCCCCCCACCACCACACACACACACACACACACACTCACCCACTCATCCTTAAAATAACAATATGCTTTTGTGTGTGTAGAAGAGTTTGGACGCTTAAAACGTTAAACTGATCTGAAACGTGATGTTCCTGTGTGTTACAGTAGTTGTGATAAATCTTTGAGAGCTGATCTGTTTTTTTTAGATTGTCATGTATCAGATTGTATGCGAGTCCAAGTTCTGTCTTTGTCCATGTTAATGTATCTCTCCCTGTTTATCTGTCTGTGTGCGTCTCTCTCTCTTCTGCTGCCCATGGAGAGTTTGCATGTTTAAAAGAAGGAAAACAGACTTTTTATTCATTTGTTTTTATTTATTTATTTAGAAGATTTTGATGTTTTGGGGAAGCATGTTGGTAGAAATGAGTGACAATTAAGATTCAGTGTTGGTTTTTTTTTTTTTTTTTTTTTGTGCCAAGAGTGACTTGTTTTTGCTGAGGCCCTGCTCTCAGTTTTCAATTAACTGGTCAGTCGATGGTTAGTGATTTCAGCCCTGGATCTAGGAGTCCACAGCGGGTGCACATATTTGCTTCAGCCTGCTTCAATAAAGTGTTGAGGTGCATCTCAGTGAAGTTGAAGGTCATTGATGAGCTGATTTATGTTTAAAAAGCAAAACTTGAAACTTATTGCACACCTGGGATACATTTCAAACTGATATTGAAAATTAAAACCATCCCAAATTCAGTGAGTCAGTAAATTAGATTAAGACACAAAAAAATATTTTTAAACCAGAAATGGAGAGGACTACCCAAGCAGTGAATAAACAAAACTTGTCTGAATAACCATTGGATATTATCAAGAGGAAGTCGAAAGGCAGAAACCAACAAAGCAGCTGAAACAATATGAGATTCATAAATAAAATAAATAAAAATGCTGATCTCATCAATGCTTCACTACGTTAATACAGAAATTGTTAAAGTTTTCCTGTAAAAGTATTCAATGCATATAGCGTATAGCACATGAATAAACATTTCAGTCTGCTGATATTTCTTGTTTTTATTTGTAATTTTTGAAAAACTGAACTTTGGATTTTATTAGAGGCAAGTCAAAATAACCAGAAATTTTTGCAATAAACAAAAACATTGTTTTGAGTCCATTTTCAAGTGATGTATTGATAACAGCGTAATAATACAACTTCGCCATCCCAAAGATGAATGCACTTTTAATTTTGTGAAGGACGCTTAACACTGGAACAATAAGTAAAATGGAAATAAAAACCACACACAACTGAAACCATAAATAAAAAGCATTATCTTCTCCTAAACAAAATTTCCCTTCAAAAACTATTAATCATCAGAAGGGAAATTATCAAGCTCTTTAAGTTATCATGCGATTAATTGATTTGCTTATTGCGACAAGCTTTAGATGCCAGCCATAATTATTACAACTTGAAATATAATTTGTTTGTGCAATTAATCAGTTTAATAACCTTTAGCGATAACTCTCTGAGATGCTCCTCCATTTGGGCTGAAGCCAGCACACCGCTGTGGTTTTCTAGACCCAGACTGGAAATAGCGAGAAAAGAGCCGCCTGTTTTGCATAGCTCCTCCCAACTGTAGCATTTTTGTCCAATAGTGGGCCGGCAGCATACCAACTCTGCTGCTGCCGCCTCCTCCACGGCCTCACTGGCTCAGGAAGGTACGTCCCAGAGACACGCCCATCCACTTCCTCTCTACACACACAGCCTTTTTTGGGGGTGGGATCCATAGCGCAGGTTGGCCCTCATTGCCATCCCCCATATTCCTGCATGCAGCATCTGCCAGCTTCATCATTAGCATTTTGCACATGTCTCTGCATGCATACTCACATTAGTTTTGCTCACTCAGGGTTTCATTGATTTGTTTTTGCTCTATATGGCAGAGACATCAGATTTCTCTCACGATATCATGAACATTAGCATCAGTTAGCCGTAATCAGCCTACTTTAGTTTACACTCCAAAGTTCACATCTCGCCACCGCTCAACCACAACCATTTCATTCACTAGATTAAGTCCTCGCACCCCTGTGATCCTCACCAGCTGGATCTGGGAAGGCTGGGAAGCAGGATGAGGAGGGGCTTGTGTTCTGGGGGCGGGAACCCCGAACTGCAGGGGGTTGGCAAGAGCTGGGTTGGCGTGCTGCCATCGTCAGACCTGGTTCTGGAGAAACGGACGAAAGGGGCAGGTGTTGAGGGGAGAGAGGCTTTGATGGAGACTCTAGATACTATTCAGCCTTCCTGATTAACCTCTGGAAAAGGAAGCAGTCTTAAGGCTCATCTCTCCCTCTTGAGGCCTGTTTCAGTACTTTTGAACAAAACTTCAGCCCTTGAAAGTGCCGAAATAGGTCTCTCCTCTTCTTCTGCCTGAGTGGAGACGGATGGCAAAGGTCGGCGATTCCAATGGTGGCTCCATGGATACATTAATGAGAATAAGGCAGTGCAGAGCAAAGTAGATCCTCTGTCAACTTTTGACAGGAGAACCTTCTTTGCTCTGCAGTGTGTGTGTGTGTGTAAAAGGAAAGTTGGGTTTTTCTGTTAGCATGTGTGATTGTTTGAGCTGAGCTTTTGGGGTGTTTGTGGTGCCCTCCAATGTGGGCTTCCTCGCTGACACTGGACCAAGGTGCCTGTTTGTAAGTTTGTTAATATCATGTGTGGCGTTGTCACTCTAGACTTGACTCCTTATCTCCTCCTTTTAAAATCATCTGAATATGTTTTTTGTCCTCTTATGTTGCGGAGCCCCGTACTGTATGTGGGGTTTATTTATTTATGTACTTATTTTTGTGTTACCTTGCAAAAGTATTGAATTTCGGCGCAGTAAATTGGTCTATTTTGTATGAGGTGACATTGATGACAAATGTCAATTTATAATTGTACATATGTAGCCTGATAAAGGTTCTAAGTCAAAACTTGTTTATACATTTCTTTTATGCAAAATTCACATTTTACAAATTTTATACGTCCATTTGGGTCTCAGCTGCTTCTAAAAACAAGTGCTTAAAAAAACCACAGCCATTTTTTTTGTCATTATGTTAATATATTTTGGTGTCTTGAAAATGAGAAATTTGAAACAAATCCCAATTAAGTCAAATTCAACTGGCACTGCACTGTTACTTAGCAACCCCAACTGAGCTCCAGCACATTTGGTCAGCTGGTTTTACCACTGTATGTGCTGTATAATGGCTGCTGGAAAAAACAAGTGCTTTGTTGTTGACTTACCATCCAGAAACAAACTTGCTGCATTGTTGTTAGTTGCACAGGAGGGTCCACTGCTGCTTTTCAAATATGTACAGTTGCATAATTGCTAATCCGTTTGCAGCCATTTTCATGTGCGAGTGTAAATGTTGAGTTCGAGGGGCTCGCAGCCAGCAGCAGCTTATTTGGATTTAAAGTGACAAGAGGCTCTAAAACGTCTCATTCTGAAAGGAGCTCAATACAGGCAGAACTGACCAGGATAAAATCTCATTATTTATGGATGATTTCCTGCAAAAAAAATGTGATGAAGACGTTCTTACAACCCATAAACCTATGCTAACCTGTTCAAGGAAACATAATAGATCACCTTTAACTCTTATCGACCTTGTAATATATTTCGGTGTAGATGGAACTGCACATGAAAATGGCTCTTTATTAACCATTCAGACTTACAGACACCACCACATCCTGTGGGAAAAAAATCCTCAAAAATAGTTGTTTTTTTGCGAGGTAACGCAAAAGGGAAAGAAATCCCCCACATCACTGAGGGGGCTCCGTATTATTTCACTCATTACTGCAAAATCCAAGCCTTCCTGACTGTAAACGCTTTCCCGCACTTAAGTCTGGCCAAAGCGGGGCTTTGCAGTTTGCTCATGATGTTACCCTACAGCGACATTACATGTAAAAACTGGCATCTCTCTATCGTCTCTGAAGTTGTTTTGCTTTGCTACCTTTTGCATGTGGGTGTCCTGTGTGGTGAAATCCTATAAAATGTTCTCTGGAGACGCCTCCTTCTGATGCTTCCTAATGCAGTCTCCCCTGCTGCTCACTATTCGGCGCTTTGCTCGAGTGGTGCAGGCTTCCTATGGTCGGTCATCTTGACTTCATCTGTGCTGTCTTGTGTAACTCGTGATCCTTCATAATTTGGAGGGGAGGCCATACTTGGGAAGCAAACGAACAAGGAAGCCCTACACCTTCACAGAGTGAATTGTAAAAGTCACATTTTGTCAAATTACAGCTACAAACTCCATGGTTTTTCTCTGGCAGACAAACACAAAGTGGTGCATCATTGTGAAAACGAAGGAAAATATGTAGCTATCAAATTTTCACATTTAAAAAAAATCTTTCTCCTGCATTCTGTCATTCCTAAATGAAATCTTACTGAAGATACTGAAGTAAGTATAGTTCAAAAACAAAATCTTACCAAGTATTTTTGGTCTTGTTTGAAGTGCAGATATCAACTTTAAACTTTAAAATCAACCCGTTGACGGCTCCATTTGTTATTGCGCTCCTGTGTAACATCAACGTTCTTCTTCTGCACATGCGGGTCACTTTGGGGACGTAAACTGTTCATGCAGAAGTCCTATTTGGGTTTAATTAATAGTATGAGCGACCATGCAAAAAAACTGGATTTCTGCAAAAACTATAATTGATCATAAATTGAATGTAGACTATCATTTGCACAATCCACAAATCTTGTTTTATGGAAGAGAAACCATGAATCATTTTCTTTTCACGTTAAAATGCACTACTTTGTGTTCATGTGCAGCATAATGTTATAAAAAACTTTGAAGTTTGTTTTTGTAGCATGACAAATATTTAGAAAGTGAATGATCACTGCAAAGTAGTACCAACACTACTTTGCACTGCAGATGGAAAACAGTTGACTTTTTTTTTTTTTTTTTCATCCAAGATTTCGCTAAATAAGGAACATGTTTTGTTTGATCAGTCAGCTCTTCTGTCCCCAGTTGTGGAATGAAAACTTTTCTTCATCACACATTTTTTCTCTTTGGATGCTGCATGGCCAGATCTCAAGATGAAAAGTAGCCTATCAGCCAAGATCGAGGAGCATGAGTTGTCACTTGAAACTGTTTGCTGCTGTAAATGCTATGCTCCTTATCTCTAATCTCTCTTGTAGTGTAATTCTAAGCCATCTGTTACAACCCTCCCTTGAACCTTCCCCTTCCCTTCTCCCATTTCTTGTTTGAAGGTAAGAAACACAAGATAAGAGTTTTGAAAACTGTGTGTGTGTAGGTAGCAAAACAAGTGAAAAGGAAGCAGACATGGAGGAAACTGGTCGAAGCCTTTAAAGGAAATCGATGATTTACATTAACCTAGCTCGTCACAGCGAGTCCTGGCGGCGGTTTGAGTCTGACCATCAGCCTCTCCTAGATCTGCAGGGGTCTTCTCTCAGGCAGGAAATGGATTTAGGAAGTTTACTTTGCTCTCAGGTTTCTCTTTTATCCCCCAGATAGCAGTGAATGGATTAAGATGTGAATGGGTTTTTTGCAGAGTGTAGCAACCTGTTCAGCTGAGGGAAAATTGCACCACAGGTCCATTAAATGCATGTTATTCTCTGGAAACATCTAGCCTTACTCGGTCACAAAGGGAGGCCTAATAGGGTTTCGTAGATATGAAAATTGGAGATGGAGATCTCAACAGAAGCTAAAAACTGGGTGGATGTTATCACCTCAAATGAAACTTTTTAACTGTTTTTTCCCCCTCCCCTTTTCCATCCTCTGTATTTTCACAGCATGCAAAAGTTTACTCAACAAGAAGTCGGATTCTGCCAAGGTGAGCTCGTCCTTAATGCCCGTCTGTTCTCCTGTGTCCTTTCTGTCTCTTCTTTTCTGTCTACTGTTATTCCACCGTGTTAAAACTTAATATATAACATAAGATCAGACATTTACTGGCTAAGTTGTTTCTAGCAAGGTGATAATAACCAAGCAGGATCTCTTGCTAATTGTTCACTAGCACTGATTCAGCACCGGAACAGATTAACCGATACTTGTATTTAAAACAAACCATCAAAGCTCAATTATTTTTGTAATCAAAGTTTGCAAACAAAGTAAAGTTATGACATATCTCAAACTGTGCTTTAAAGGTTTTTTATGTGCGATAATCCCGGTTAGACCTTTCATAAATATGGAAATAAGTTGAGCTCATTCAGAGACCAAATAATAATTGTAACCATTTTCCACATGACCAAATCAAAGTAACTTATCCAGTATAGAATAGTTCAGTTTATGTTTGACTTGTTAATATTGTAGTATTTTGCTGTTTGGATCACCCCAAGAGTTGAACATTTTGGCATTTTTGTTGTTTTGTTTTTTTTTTTTTTTTTTTTTGGTGTTGTTTTGTTTTTTCTGTTTGTTTTTTTGTCCAAAAAAGTCACGGTTTCATAAATCTCAAGCTTTTTTATAGAATCTTTTTTATCTCTGTTGAATTATCCAGCTCAGGGTTTATCAGACTGAATGTTTTAGATTTTAAACAAGAAATGATGTAAAACAATCCAGACTCATTAAAATCCATGCAACGGCCCTTTAAATCATTGGCGATTGGAAGGTTTGACATGGAAGCTGCGTTAGCATCGTTAGCGGCTAAGAGTTAGCCAGGCATGTTATTCTTTCAGTGCTTATAAATAATTTGGAACAGGGTTCCCAACATGTTGCCCAACAAACTAACAAAAAGGTGAAGAATACCTTTGTAACTGAGCACCTCTAACCAACTATTTCTACTTCCGTTTTCCCTTCAAAATAAGAGTCTGAAACATGGACGCCAAGTTTAAAGCACTTGCCTTCATATCCAGGCTCATTTTAATAGCTTAGATTTATTTCAGCAATCACTTTCTTACATTAAGTGGGTTGATAGATTTCGCTTTGAGAAATATCAAAGTGAAATTTTAACTTCATTCTGCAGTCAAATTTTGTTGTAAATGCAATAAAAGCCTATCTACAAAAGTTTAATTATGAAACACTAATTTTGTATTTCCTCCTGAAATTTGACTTATTTCCTGTTTTTCCTCCTTTTTCGTCACGTTTAGACCCTAAACTTCTCATACTCCCATCCACAAGATTTTCCGTTTCCCAGTTCTGCTTCGTTTTTCCCAGTTCTTAATCCAAAGCTTTTATTCTTTTACCTCAAGTCAGCTTCAGTCAACTTCCTTTCCGAGCAGTCTCCCATCACTTCCAGCTCTCTCCTTCTCCTGCTGCCCTCCCTGTCTATATTTTTTTTTGCCCCCGAGGTTTTCTGTGTGTAGTTAAGTGGCACAAGCATGGAGAGTTAGTGAGGCAGTAAAAAGGATGATCTAGAGGCCTTTCTGTGGCACTCACCCCTCTCATTTATCCTGTTAGCTCTCAACAGCCCTGGAGCTCGGAAAAGCATTAGCCCCCTTTCCCGAAAAAGGCGTTTTAATTCAAATGCATCTATGTGTGTATTTGTGTAGCTTTTGTGTTTCACTTTGAGTGTTTGCGTTCTCGTCCCAGCCTTCTACCAACAACAGTAAGAACAGTATAGTGAGCGCCATCAATGCCCTGAAAGACACCAACATGGCAGCCAACGCCCAGATGGTACAGTAGGCCGCCGCAGTGCCAGTTCCCGCCTCTCTCCTCCCCCCTCCACCTCCAAGTTGTTGCATAGTTGCCCGATTTATTTTTTCTTGCCTCATCCTCCATCATCATGCTTGTCATCCTTCATCTATGTTCCAGGAGATGTTGCTTTGTATCATTCCCCACCCCAGCAGTGCCAACTTGAAGCCATAAAACCTCCCAAAGGTGCACAAGTGTTACTGAGATCGATGAGCATTAAAGACCTTTGGGAATCCTTCAAAATTATAAAATCATTATTTTAAATCTCAGGCAGCGCATGTGCACCCGTTTAGTTTTACACACAATAAATTGGAATATCATTGAAGAGTCGGTGTCTTTCACTTATTTCAATTTAAGGAGTGAAACTTGTTAAAGTGTTTATTTTTGTTAATTTAGATTATTGTAATTTAAAGTCAGTCAAAACCACAATATTAGCTTATCAGAAAATGTAAATATTCAGTTTTTTAATATAGCGCCAATTCACAATAAATGCCGTCTCAAGGCACTTTACAAAAAATAATTTCAATTCAAATTTTTCCTAGTCATCAAGCAGTAGAGTATGCTCAATGAATTATTGAAAATAGTTGAAAGTTTCTAAGGAAACCCAGTGGATTGCTTTTTATATTGCATAGGAATATACTGAATATTTGTAAGCAGTTACTGACATTCTCAACAAGAATGCCAAGCCACAGAAGTTCATATCTATGTGAACTGGCTCCCACCACAATGAATTCAAAGCATATTAATAGAAAGCTGAGTGGAAGGAAAAAGTTTCTGGACTGCAAACCCTGGAGTAGATTTACAAGATGATTGTGGCATATATTGCGATATAAATGAAATGGGTGACTAAAAGCTATTCAAAAAGCCTTTTTAATAGATTGTGAAGCTGAAGTAAGGGCTTCTCCACACACAGACGTATCCAGGATGGGCAAGAAGTGTAACTTTTATTGTGTTAAATTATTCCTGAGGCAGAGACAGTTTGATTTTACCTGGGCTAAGATGACAAATGAGTGGGCAGTAGCTTGGTGACCCAAAGTCGTCTTTTCAGGGGAAAGTAAATAATACATTTCATTTGGAAATAAATGAAAAGTGAAGAAGAACTGAATCAAAGTTCCTTTAGGTCCAGCATGAAGTTTCCTCAGTCATCGATGCTTTGAGTTGCCATGTTGGCGTGAAAAGGCCATTGCAAAAGATGCATAATATTGGAAAGTTGAGTGATAGGAAAAACTCATCTAACGTTATTAAGAGGAAGATGAGAGATAGCAGACAAATTCAGTAAGTATTTTGTGAAAGGGGCTGTATTTAAATATTGAGTGTAAATACTGTACAATGCAATATTCTTAAACTGAATTCAAAATCAAATGAATACACAAAACAAGATGGCCGCCTTGGGCAGGGTGACGTCACTTTAAACCATGGTGGGGGAAAAATCCAGATTTTCAAAAACTTTAATCTTCAAAATCCACATTTCTATGTTAAAATCTTTTTTATAGGTTTTATGTTTGGTTTCACGATCATCAAAATTACCAGAGACAAACACTTTAAATAAATTTGCTTCTAATTTATTTGCATAATGAATGAGTTTCACTTTTTGAATTGAATTAATGAAATAAACCAGCTTATCAATCATATTTTCCTTTCCCAGTTGCATCTGTATATAAAGCATGGGCTTGTTGGTTGGACTATTTACCGCTCACATCATGCAGCTAGCAGTTGAAGCATCAGACAGTTTTTTTAATTCTCTTGTTTCTCCAGATTCTTTGTATAAACTTTAACATCCCAAACCCAACTAGATATGCTTTTGGCCTTTTTTCCATTTCAACCATCTATTCCAACATCTTTCTTTTTGCTCTGATTTTCTTTAGCGAATGTTTCCTCACTTTTCCTTCATTAACATTCTTACTGACATGCTGGTTCTACTGCCTTCATCATGCTCTTGCAGCATGCAGTGAATGGTGTGTTGCAGTGCTGTGGTTTGGATTAGGTAGTTTGCTTCAAAGGTGCTTCACAACTGGTGCAACAGGGCCCCAAGTTGTATTATATGTGTGCAATTTACAACTTCTACATTTCAAATGTATTCAGGTTTGCAGCCTAAAATTGTTAGATTTGTTTCTGTAGCTAAAGGAGTTTCAGTCTTTGACTTGAGTCAAGCCAACGTGGTGGAAGTGGTGATTTATTTTTTATTTGAAGGAGATTTAATGAATCAGAATTCTACCCAGGAATTTATGGAAACCCAACAGTGCTGGAAACGCTTATGAGAAAAACTAAAATGCTGCCAGCATTCAGAGAGAATGTTGCAATCGTTCACTTATATTTATGTCACCAGTTATCTGTGTTTTGTTCTGTAAAACATAGTGAATGGAAGAAGCTAAAAGTCTTTTGTTGTTTTTTAACACAAACACAAGGATGGATCTATGCTGCAATAATGTCACAAAATGTTGTTTTAAAGACCCTAAAACATTTATTCAGGCTAATGTTACACATGTTGTGGTTGAAACAGATGTCAAATTGTAGATGTTGTCAGAAATCAGCTGAAGTCAAACACCACTGCCTTCATGTGGCTCAGACCAGACCAGGTGTTAATAATTAAGTGATCCTTAGTTGTATTGAAAAGGGGCCAATAGAGATAAAATGGAGTAAAATTAACCTCATGTCCTCATAAACCACTGGGGTTTCTTGAACAGAACGGTTGCTAACTCATCATCTTCGTATGAACTTTGCCGTTGGTCCTTCCCCAGAATCCAAGATTTTTTTATTTTTTTTTTATAATGTAGAGATTAAAAACTCTTTTCTACAAGAGAAAGATTTCAGTTTATGCTTGCAGTGAAAGACCCCTGTTTCTGTGTAAAGGATCTTTTTGATCCGAGATGGACTTAAAGTTTTATCACAATGTTTTGTGGTACTGTTATGATCATGATAAAAGTGAGTTTATTACTCCTTGTGTTGCTGTAACTGTATGGAAGAGCAATCTTAGCCCCTCAAACACAAACACTGCTCTTGAAAAACAATGCCCGTTATTGTTGCACTGCTTTTGGACACTGCTTGCATAAAAAAGTGTGATTTGTTTGACTAAACTGCACTCAGCTACTGCATTTAATCATATCAGTGTATTTGATAGTGATATTGAACAATCAGTGGAGAAAATAATAATTCTGACAAGAAGACAGCAACAACAACTACAATGTTTTGGGATTTTTAACATAATTTATGGAAATTAAATCAAAATTCTTATGAAAAAAATAGCACCATAAATGGTAAACGATACAGTAAGTGACCAACCCCAGTCAGAAGTCTTCCTATACCTTTTTTTTTTTTTTTAACGATAATGGCGGATGTCCTGTTGCTGATTGAAAGCTTCAAATGTAAACTGTATATCTCACCAGCTTCTTGTTCTCATTGAAAATTATTTCCAAATCTTTGTTTATTTTTGTGGAACCTGTAACCAGTCATCGCTGTTTCAACCTGAGAATCCGGCAGAGGTCACGCCGCTGTGACGACCTCAGTTGGCGAGTCAGGGGTGTAACGGAGATGCTTTTGTGAAAGTGGCTCACAAATTTTCAGCATAAGGATAAAATGTACATGTATACATATTTGGCAGTGGATTCAGATATCTGTAATTTTACCAACCTAAACCATCTGTCACTCTAAAAATGCCCTGTAGGCTGTGGATGTGTTGCAGAGGTAAAGTAGTTGGGGCCGGTTCAAACCCAGTTGAAACGCACCGTTTCAGAGCAAAAATATGCCAGACTGACTGTTCTGTTCTGCTCTGCAGGAATCTCAGAGCACAGTGGTGCACAACCCTCCTGATGGAGTCAAGGTAATACTTTAGTTGTGTTGAGTGGGAACACGGCCCCGCCCTGGTTGACTCGCTCTTGGATCTTTCCTGCGTTGGTTTCAGCATCTGTCTGTCCCTCTTCTCGGTCCTCAGGGATCAACAGAGAGCAACGCCACAAACGATGAGGAGGAAATGAAAGGTAGGAAAGGTACTCGAGTGTTTTATTCCCTTTTCCCTGTTTTCATTCACTGTCTCTTTCTTTCTCCCTTTTAGTGAAGTGTGTGTATTTGACTGTAGTGATCGGCAAGTGTGTTGCGGTCCTAAGCGTGTCTGTCGTATGTGTGTGTTTGTAATTATTGTGTGTTTGGCTACATCTAGCGGACAGTTCGGCGCTGAGTCAGAGCAGCGCCACTGAGGAGATGCCCCCTCTTCTGCCCTCACCTCAAAGCTCACCTGCCAGTAAGTTTATCTATGGCAAAGAGAAGCTATATGGTTGCCCCCTGTGCCCCCTGAAAGGACCCGACACCCACTCCTCCCACTCTCACCTCGGTTTCTTGTAGCACTGGCAATGACGTCTTCCATGTTTGAGCTCCGCTCACACCCCGATCTACCAAGCGTTACTTTTTTATAGGGTTCCCACTGGTTTTTGAACGTTTCTGGACTCAATCAGATTCTGATGTCAGAGAATTTAATCTTTTAGTTTATTGCAACTTGGATTCCCCCCTCACCTCCTCACTGCTATTACCGTTTTTTCTGTAAAACAGGAAAATCTCAGCTTCCTTTTCCTTGCATACATGCGGTGAAGTTAGCGTAAATAATGTATTAATATTAAAGAGCACCTGTTTTTGCCAAATCTACATTTTACACATTTTTGTCCTCCAGTTTGGGACTCAACTGCTTCTAAAATCAGCCCAAGTGCTTAAAAAGAAACACCCACCCTGTTTTTTTTTTTCTGTAAAATGAGCCATTTCAAAAACTTCCCGATTGTAAAGTCACAGTTGACGGGCACAGCGCTGTTACCAAGCAACCCCAGCCAAAGCCAGCCCATCGCCTACCTGAGCGAAATCCCAACGTTTGGTCAGTTGGTTTTTCCACTGTATGAGCTGTACAATGGCTGCTGGAAAAAAACAAGTGTTTTGTTGTTGACTTGCCATCCAGAAACCACTTGCTGCATTCTTGTTGGTTGTGTGGGAGGCTCTACTTCTGCTTTTCAAATATATATAGTTGTACAATTGCAGCAATTTTTTCATGCAAGTGAAAATGTTGAGTTGGGGGCGTGGCCAGCAGAAACTTATTTGAATTTAAAATATCGAGATGCCATAAAGCAGCTCATTCTGAAAGGAGCTGAAAATAGCCAGAACTGGCCAGATTCAAATCTCATAATCTAAGAATGATTTTGTGAAAAAAAAAAAATGTAATGAACATGTTTTGTATAACCTACAGACCTGTTATAACAGGTTAAGGTACTACAATAGGTCATCTTTAGCAGAAAAAGGATTTTTTTGTGTGTGTGTGTTTTTCTCCTCTTTTAGAAACCTTTCTTCCTAAAAATTATTCTTGAGTAGCTGGTCTATCAAAATACAAAGTACTATGTCATCTTTCTAGATTTTAGTATGTTTAAATTTGGCTGAGCTGAATAATTTTTTTTTATTTGAAAAAGTTGAACTACACCATGTAAGAAAACAGATTTTCAGAAGCCAAAAAAATAATAAAATACACGTATGTTAAGCTCAGATGATACAAAATCCCTAGTGTGTTATATATTGATGATTATGGCTTACAGCTCTTGAAGACCCAGTTTATGTCATCAGAAAATTTAAATAAGAATGGCTTCATAATGCTTAAATGTCAGTCCAATGAAAAGCAGGTTCACCTACTGTACAGTGAATGCATTCAGTACTTGGTCAGGGCTCCTTTTGCATGAGTTACTGCATCACTACAGCGTGGTCCTGCTGCTTTTTGCTCTGGTGTCCAAATTTCTTGGCAGACCACTGCTCTGACTTTGGACTTGATAAAACATGGTGGACTAAGACCAGCAGATACCTCAAGCTCTTAAATGGTCTTTGCTCACAATTCCTTCAAGGCTCCAGTTTTCCCTGTTGCCTACATACCTTTTTCACTATCCCATTTTTTTCTTACACTCAACTTTCCAATAAAATGCTTGGATGCATCCGTCTCAACAGGCAGCTTCTTTTGCATCAACCTTTTTGTGGCTTGCCCTCTGTGGAGGGTGTCGGTGGTTGTCCGCTGGGCAGCTCTAATCCAAGTTGAAATAAACTGGTTCATTTCGAAGAATTTCCCATTTAAAACGCTTTAGTTTTTGTCATTAATGCATTCCTTTTATTGAAAAGTACCAAAGAGCAGGGCTACTTTGACTATTTAAAGCAAAAGCAATGCACCAACTTTAAGAAAAAAAATAAAAATAAAAAAAGTTGTACATCTCTGATTTTTGGCCACTGTGGGAACCTTGAAGTGTGTGTGTGTGTGTGTGTGTGTGTGT